AGATAAGTTTTTATTGGAGTGCCTTACTGAAGGTTAAGCATCCTGGTGTTTTGGGATGACTGAGATCTGTGTGTAGGAGTTGGTCTTGGTGCAGGTCTGAGGAGGACACTGGATTTGGGAGTGTTGAAAAGTTAGTGAGGTTCAAGGATCCAAATACGAAAGGTCAGTGGGAGGAGGAGGGATGCAACAATGAATCTGAGGATGAATTGATGTGAGGTGGGAGTGAGCTGAAGGTCAGGCATGCTTCCTCAGTGGCATTGGCTCCTTAGGCTGACAAAATAGGCAGCTATAATCTAAGGAAATAACAATAGCTGTTGTGCTTGGATATGGTTAATTAGAATAAAATCTCTACATTAGGGTTCTCAGTTTTTCTTCTTCAAATGAATAATCTTGGGTTTCTGTTGAAGGGGTATTTTTCATCCATTAATTGAACATGTTAATGCAATTATGTGTGTTCATTTAGTGAGAACCTTGGCAGGAGTATAGTTCAGTTATCACAGCAAGAGCAGATTCAGTTCTCTGCCTGCTGCTTCTCAGATTGATGAAGTGTTGTGCAGCAGTGCTGTCACCTGGATGGTTGAAATCAGTCAAAAACAGCCCTCCAAGCATCTGGAGCTTGACTGCAGTGTGGCCCACAACCAGTGATCCCAGAAGGATGCAGGAAGGGGGCACGGAGGGCAGGGATGAAGGTGTGCCAGCTGTGCTCCCAGAGCCAGCACATGGCACCAGTGCAGTCCAGGCATCCCTGCTGAGGGACACAGGTGCTGGCATTGATCCCAGCAGAGGAAAGGAGAGCCACTGACAAGTTAAAGGTTAACTAAGTAGTAATTGGTCACTACTTTTTAATAGCAAGAGGATCCTGCTAATCACTGTGATCCCTTGGCTACTCCAGCAGCTCTGCCTGGAGCAGAAAAATTTAGCTTGCAAAAGGCTGGATTAGGAAAGAACTGGGGCTTTAGGGCACACTGGTAGGGGATTTTTGGTTTGAATATGTTAGGGGCAAGTAGTCTTTGAAACATTAACAGTCTGCAAATACAGTTTCTGTTCCCCTATGACTGTTTAACTTTGAGTACTTAGTAATTTTTTTTTGAGATAATTTGGCTTTGAATCTTTTTCCTAGCCCTCGTTACATGCCATAGGGTTGTTGCCCAAGTCTTTTTTACTGAAGCTACATGATGATCATGTCAAGATGGACCCTTGTAGTCTGGGGGCAGCCCTTAAGTAGATATGGGCTCCATCACCATCACTTAAATCTGGAACAGCAAAGAGACTAAAACTGCTGGAATGTTTCTTTGCTCATGCCAGTTCTTTTTCCATGGGCACTGTCCGGGGCAAAACTGTGTGTTACTATAAATGCCCTGATTTGCAAACACATCTTTGGCCACAGGGTTGGGTTTAACAGGCAGACTTTTTTTGAGTAGTATATTTTTTTCAATCTGTACTGTATCTCAGTGAATATTTAATTTTTTTCCCCTTTTGAAGAAGCTAATAAGTGAAAATGGGAATCAGCTCAAGTATTCCAAAATGGCTGAAGTTCTGAGCATTTGTCTGTGTGTGAATGTGACTTGTGGAAGAAAAGCCCAAATGAAATGTGGCAGGCAAACCAAAATTAAAGAAAATTTGTAATAAATAACTCTTGATTAAAGCGTAGGCTATGGGAGTATGAAAAACACAGACATTACACAACTGAATCCTGTCCTGGTAACATGTTTTAGAAAGAACTGACTAATGACTGTCTCAAATTGCTGCCAGACTTCTTTGAAAAGTCATGGAAAACTAGGAGAGAGATAAAAATGTGACATCTGGAACTAAGTTATAACTTTTCATACGAAGCAGAAGAGTTGCAAAAGGAAGAACCACTCCATGTCCAAGACTAAGTGTTTGGTGGGGAGCCCAGCATGGCTGCACATTGGCTCCTGACAAGTGCAGCAGCTCCTGGTGCAAAAGGGATGACAAAACCTCCTGTAATCCCCCCGGCAGGATGTCTGGTCTTGTGTCTTCTGCAGGTGTTGAGAAAAGGATGAGTGTGAGCAGGATACCACTTAAGGTTTTTTTTCTCTTACTGGAACCTTCCTCAGCTCTAGTATGTTCCTTGCTTGGTTCATTTTATTACACTCAGCCCTGCACATTCTTTTTTCCAGCCAGCCCTCGTGGTCAGCCCTTATCTACAACATGTTGAGTTACTAGGTTATGATCATCAATCTTTGCTGTTTAGCTTTCCCAGATACTTTGATGTTATTTTGAAGAGCTCAAATGCCAGCAGAACTTCCTGGGGACCTTGCTCTGTCAAAGGACTGCTTAATTCTTCTGACCACTTACTTTTTCAAGCAAACTCCTTCTCTTATGTGGTGGTACCTTCGTTTCCTCAAAATCCTGTAGTGAAGGATGCTGCAGAGCTTTTTGGGAAATCCAGGTAGCCTGACCCATTGCAGCTCAGGTCTTCCTTACCCATGTGGTTGTTGACTCCTCTGAAGAGCCTGGATTGTTCTGTGGGCCCAGAAGGGAGAAGCTGCATTGACTTTTTCCAAGTCCAGAAGTAATGCTGCTTAAGGATGAGTGTTTCCTTATTCTTACTCATTTATCCTTGTGTCTCCTCTCTCTTCTTTGTCTGTTTACTGCCCAGTGTTTTGTCTCTTCCACAAGACAATCTGAATTTGGAGGCTTGGGCTGGTTTATGTCCCCGCTGTGGTGTGTGGTGTCAGTGTGGGAATCCTTCTAGCTCCTTCTGTGGTGTCTGCAGGAGCAATGAATTTATTTGGCCTTATCTTCACTGAGTCTTGCTTTTTATTCCTGTATCATGTGTCCACACTTTCTGGCAGGCTTTATGCCAAGCCTGAAGTAGATAACCACAATTTTGGTGCCTCCTACTCACAGTCCCCAAATTTTCTGGCCTATGTTGGCATGGTTTTGATCCCTGTGGAGCTTTCACATAACGCAGGAGGTGACGGGAGCTGCTCCTCTGACATCCCCAGGCAGCAGTGCCCAGGCGTGGAGCTCATCAGATGCTGAGTGGTTTTGGCATATTTAAGTCCAACACAAGAACACGCAGGGTGGTGAAAATTCAGGTTTTCAACATGTGCTGATTGATTTTGGGAGCAGTGGGTATGACACGCGGGGGAGGAAGAGGTGAGCCTCAAACTGACTTAAAATCAAAACTAAATTGGCTTTGACAAGGCAGGATCTGGAGAGAGAGTTTCTCACTGAGTTACTCGGGCAAAGGTGCTTTCAGCTTGTGGTTGTGGTGACTCTGCCTTATATACTAGTTGAGTTCACAGCAAAGAGAGTCCCATTTTAACAATGCCAGGGAGATAAATTCTCTATTCGCAAGCCAGTTAGAAAAAATATCTTAAACACAAGAAAACTGCTTTTACTTATGACTTACTGCTCTTGTTCACTATGAATTTATTGCTTGTTACCTACTTTTGTAGCTCTTGGGGATTGGAGAATTAAAGGTCCCGCTCACCTCCTTGCAGAGAGATCCTGGGGATTTTCTGTTTCTCATTTTCCCATTCCCATGGCCCATTTGCACTGTTTTTCTTTGCTGAAATTAGGGAACTTCTGCAGCATTTGAAATGCTCTTTAACTTCCTTTAATTTCCTATGGGTGTGTACATGGGAGTCCTACCATGTGGTTTTTCCACTAATTTCTCTCCTTCCTGGAGAAGCCATTTTTCCTCTAAACTTGAGTTGCAACATAGATCACATCTGAAGCTTTTGAGGTATTTGGCAATTTCTGCAGTTTTCACTTTTGAGTGCCTAATTTTTTATTCCCTTCCACCCCACAAACCTTTCAGGTTTGTCACAGCTTTGCATTTTATTGTAAGTGATGCTTTCTCTTACCTGCAGGGGTTTTGACATTTCCCTGATGGGTGTTATGTAGTGGAGCATCACAGAGCTGCTGCATGAAATAGGAATGATACAGAAAAGGGAGTTGGCCATTAATTTTATTCTATTTTTTTGTCAGATTTAGGGGCTTCTGTCTCATGTGTTGACCTTGGCTGCCAGCAGTGAAGTCCATGGAAATTATTTAGTGAAATTACTTGATTTGATAATCCATAATTATCTGCATGCTGTTTTTCATTCTTAAGTTAGAGGAGTGATTTTGCATGAGATGATAAATGTTGGAAGACAGTTTTTGCTTCTGGAGGGCTCAGAGTGGGCTGGGATCTTCTCCAGCTCTATTCCTGCTCAGGCATCCAGTATTGTGCTTCCTACAGAGGGGGAGTAGCTGCTCCTGGACTTCGAAGGATACAGAGTTAAGGCACCTGTGAAAGGGAGCAGAGGTTTGACAGCTGTTAAAAATGGGATGATAAATCCACATAAAAACTTTACATGTCAAGTAAATGATGCTTCTGCAAACAGGTTTTGATAGTAAGCGTGTGTATAAAAATGGATTCATTAAGGATGAAACAGGGAGAGAAAGAGGATTTGCATTATTTCTGGTCATCAGGAAGTTTCTATAAGGCAAACATATCGTTTGTGGTCTTGGAAAGTTCAAATTTCTTCTGATGCAAAGAAATTCTGCAAGAGACACAGCAGTTGTTTTGCTGGGGAAGATGCACATCAGGACTGCATTGCCTTCAGCATCAGGTGTTTGGAGTCAGGTTATAATTTTACTCCTTTTTTGTGATGTTTTGGCGTGGGGTGAGCACTTGTTGAAAAAAGTGCTCTCCTTCTCAAGTCAGGAAATGAAAGTGCTGAGCATTCAGAACATCATCAGAGCTCAGAAGTGAAAGAGTTTGCTTTCCTTTTTTATGGGGAAAAAAGGAAATAAACCATAGAAGGTGTGGTTTAAATATGGAGCTTTTATTTGGGAATGGTTAACTGTGGAAGATGTTGGAAAAAGATGATAAGGAGACTAGTTAAAGAGCTTTGTGGAGTTGGTGCTGCTGCTATTATGCCTGTTCTTCCTTTAAACCTGTGAGTTTTCTAGGGTGAATTTGGGGGGGAAAAAAACCCCAAGTAGAGAATAACTAACTAATGTAACCTTTCTTCCATCAGACGTGTCAGGTGTGCCAGATGATGCTGCCCAACCAGTGCAGTTACTGTGCCCACCAGAGGATCCACGCTCACAAGTCCCCGTACTGCTGCCCCGAGTGCGGCGCCGTGTGCCGCTCCGCCTACTTCCAGACCCACGTCAAGGAGAACTGCCTGCACTACTCCCGCAAAGTTGGCTTCAGGTGTGTGCAGCTCAGGCTCCCTGGGAGCTGGGACTTACACCTCTGCACTCTGCTTGTGAGGTTGTGGCTGTGTCTGTCCTGGCTGTGTTCCCTTCCAGTTTATTCTGTGTGTCTTCTCCCTGGCAGAGCAGGAGACACACACACACACACACACACACAAATGGTCCTTGACTTAGGATAAACATAACTTAGCAAAAAACAAAACATCAGTGTGCTATCACTGTTATTCTCATTCTGAATCCAAAACACAGCACTGTAGCAGCTACTGAGAAGAAATTAACTCTGTTCCATCTGAAACTAGGACATCCACCCCTTGAAGTGTTCAAGGCCAGATTGAACAGGGCTTGGAGCCACCTGGTATAATGGAAGGTGTCCCTGCCCATGGCAGGGAGTGGATGGGATGAGTTTAAAAGTCCCTTTCAACCCAAAACATTCTGTGACTGTGAACTGTGTCTTACTTAGAGCAGAAATGAAAGTGGATGTAGCTGGAGCCTGGCATGGTTTTCTGCATGACAAAACACATTTGAAATGGGAAATAATTACTAACTGGATTTAAGGGAGGTTTCTGAGAGCAGACATTATTTTGTGGTGTCTTTGAGCTGAAAAGCTCTTGTATTGAATTCATGTTGCAACTGGATGTCACAGGATTGATACTTACAGCAAAAAGATTGCAGATCTTAATCCTGTTAATCTCCTTAAGGCTTGAATTTATATTTATGTCAGTTGTAATGGGCTGAGGATGTGTGCCTTTATGAGAAGGGCATAGATTATTTCCTTCTGTGCCCCTGCAAACCTCCAAACATTTCTCATGAGCTGAGACAGATGGAGAAGGCTCCCAAGGTTCTGGATGTGATACAATATCTTTTCTGCAACTAAACTGCTTGCTCTAATAAGATGTTACTTTTCCCTATGAGCCTTCTCTCCTTGGCATGTTTAGATCACCTGAGCTGCAGCACAGCTCTTAACACATGATGATTTGCCTGGGAGTTGAGACTGGGTGATCTTTTGAGTTTCCTTAAAGTTCTGCTTTTTCTCTTGGTTGCCATTAAATACTCTGAGAATTCAAACAAACAGGGCAATTTCTGCTCTTGGAGGCGTTCTTTTAAGATGTCTGCAACTTCAGGAAGCTCTGCTGTGTGGTTTGGTCTGAATCACACTGAGGTTTTCAAGAGCTTTTTCTTTCAACCGTGAAGACAGGAGGCACATAACAAACTAATTCTGAGTTTAATTATATGCAGATAAGGTTTTTTAATGTGGGATCTGATTTGAGGAGACCCAGCCCACAACAAAGAATTAATTCCTTCACATATTAAATGGCTGTGACACTGGGGCTGTTTAAAAATGAGTTAATCTGGGAAGGAGGAAAGCTGAAGGAAAAAACGTTTTCCTTGAGATGGAAAAAGGGGCATGGAGGAGATTCAGAAAATTAACTTGGGTTTGGTGCAGTTCTTGGAACTTCAGTTGCACCTGGGAATCCAGCAAGGAGAACTTCCATCTGTTTACAGATGTTGTTAGCAGATACCTGCTCTCTGTTCCAGGGACATTAATGAAGATCTAAATGAAGGCAAAGCTCACAAATTATACACTAAGGATTTTTTAGCTTTACCCATCCTCTCTAAAAGCTGAATTTCTTTAACTTCTCCTCTAATTTACATCTACTGAAGCTCATCTGTGAAAGCTGAGTCCACTAGACAGGTCAATGTCTGGCTGTGCCATCCTTGTTATCCTGCCTGTCTCTGCTGCAGGGCTGATGTCACTGACATTGTTGAAAACAGAAGAGATAAATTCTGGTTGCAGAACCATATCTAGATAATCTGTGGCATCTGCCCTGTAGTCATGGAATGACTTCATTCTTTTCTTTCATATTTCTTACTTGCAGAACTGAAAAGCTGAGGAATTCTTTAAATCCCTCCCAGGATCAGCTTGATTTTTACTGCATCTCTTTATGTCCCTATTTTTTTGAATTTCTGGAGCACAGGTTTGGTTTTGGTTTTGTGATAAGTCCTTGTTCTGTCTCCTTTTCTGCTCATAACCTTATGCTTTCAATTAAAAATGGGGTATGGTTGTTTTATTTGGAATTGAGTCATGGCTGGTAATTGCACTGAAAATGAGAATGGTCTTCTACAGTTGAAAATGAAACTCAACAAGATTGTCCTTAATGGTCCTTTCTTCTTGGCTCCAAGTGTCACGCTCCCCACTTTTTCCAAGCCCCTTCCAGCTGTCCCCACCAATTTGGGACCCATTTTACTGCTTGGTACCATTTGGAGAATTGAGGGGCTGGAAGGTGATGGCATAGGAAGCATTCCGAGGGTTAAGACAACATCTTGTGGCTGTTATCTCCTCTCACAGGATGCTTTCCAAGACTTCCAGCCAACCCTCCTTGCCCTGAGGGATCCAACAACACTGGGGATGATAGCAGGATTTGCAATTTGCAGGAATTATATGGCAAGCCCCTTGACATCCTCCATCCACTTTGTTCAGCTAATTAGTTTATGAGCCCTTGTCCTTCTGGCACTGGGATTCTTAATTACAATGTGGCTGTTGTTTAGACTTCCATTTACTGTAAATTAAATTAACCTGTGATCGTTTGACCCTGAGTTAGTGCTTGTTTCATTCCTCATTCTTAATGAAGTACTTCCCAAAATCAAGCATCAGGCAGAACCATCTCTTCTTAGTTCAGGGAGAATTTGTGGAGGAAGCCCATTGGATATTCCTGGATGTACCAGTCATTCCTTACTGCCAGCATTAGTATTTGTTCTTCCATTTATACTTGGGGAATTTAATCTGCCATGATAACCTGGTTCTTAGTGTTACTGCACTAGAAAGTCTCTCTCCCCTATCTCATATGGTTGAGGATCAGGCTTGAAGGCAGAACTACCCCACCTGAATGTCTTCGTGCTTCCCCAAAGGTCACACCAGCTTCTGTCACTGCTTCCCTCTTGAAATTTAAGAAAACAGCAATTCTGTGTTTTCCTAAAAGTGTGGGGGAGAGGGTTTGGCTCCTTCAGGCTGGCTTCTGCCTAATGATCTTTTGAAGTGCAACTTCAAAGCCTGGGCTTGTTTCCTAAACGCTGCTGGGAGGCTGGTTCGGAGGGAAGGATATTCCAGCAGCTTGTTTGTTTATGATACGGGCTTGGAGCTGTTCCAGTGCACGATAGCTGGGGTCCATCTGTGCCAGCAGTGCCGTGGCAGCACTGAGCACACATCCCCCAGCAGTGCTGTGGGCAGACACAGCCCTCAGGGAAAGCAGGGAAATGAAGGGAAAACCTGTTTATAAGGTGAGGAGGTTATGCCTTGTGCACCTCTCACATTCCACCAATGCAAGGTTGGCCCTTGCATTACCAGGCTGGGCTCCCCAGCTCTAACATCTGTACATGCAGTGCTGGTTTAAGCAGAGTTCCACTGGTATAATTTTGATGGAATATCCTTGGGAGAGGCTGTTCTGGTCCCAGATCAGCAGAGGTGCACCTATGGGATGGCAAACCCTGTGGCTGGTGTGCTCGAGGCAGGTGAGGACAGGTGGCTGCATCCTCACATGCCCTTGTAAGTTGGAGTGTGGCATCTCAGAGCACAGCAGGCAGATCTGGGGAGCGTTAAAGTTAAATTAAGTGAGGCTGCTGGTTGTTGCCATCTTGTGGGAATATTAAGCAGGACCTGTCACAGATGTGTGTCTGGAGGAGAGGCAAGCTGGGACCAGCAGGATGGCCCTGCTCTCCTCTTGGCTTTGTTTTCAGCTGCTGAGAAGAATGCTTTTCTGCTTCTCCCTCCCTTTTCCCTGAGCACCCAGACAGTCCTTCCAGTCAAGCAGTTTCTAGGCAGCACCTGTATCTTAATGAGCTTTATCAGTTCCTTGGGTATTTCTATTGCTGTTCTCAGTATCTTTGCTGTTGCTGTTGTGATTTTCGATAGAGTAGCAATTGCTGAAGATTTCTGACTGGATATTCTTTATTTTGTACTGGGGACTAATTGGTATTTGTGCTGTTTTTTGCCACATGGAGATCTCATCAGGTACTTTTACTCAGTCTTTAACCTGTGCCCTGTGCTGAAATTGGCTTTCACAGGTGGCATTCTGTTGAACCACATCTTCATTCTTTTTTGGGTTGTTTTAGTCTCTGAAGGTTTCTTTTCTAGATCTTGTTTCCTTGTTGCTAGCATTTAGCTGTGAGTTCTGCCCAGAATTCCTGTATCATATTCCTCCTTGACACTTCCACATTAATATGAAAGAGATTGAACTGATTGAGTCAAGGACCCGCCACAGCCTGGTCCCTCCCTGCCATTCCATGGGTGTGATGGAAGTGGTGCTGTGGCTGTAACTCAGCTCTTTGTCTTGCCTCCCCCAGGTGCATCCACTGTGGAGTTGTCTTCATGACCCTCACCATGCTCAAAGTGCACATCCAGGAGAAACACTGCGAAGTCTTCCACAAGTGTTCTTTCTGCCCGAAGGCCTTCAAGTCTGCTGACACCACCATGGCTCACGTGGCCAGCCAGCACCCAGCAGAACCTCACAAGACTACTCAGTAAGTATTTTGGCTTTATCTCTTCCCCTTTTCTGGATGGCTCCAGGATTCCCCCTTTCCCCTCACAGTTTCTTTGTCTGCCAGCAGGGCTCTGTTCCAAACTAGAGCATGCTTTGGTACAAACACAGTCTCCTGGGTAGGAGGAGAGGGCTTTGGTCAGGCAAGAGCTAAACACCCATGAAAGGAACTTGTCACCTCTTTGTCCAGCAGGACCCTCAGTGGCACCTCTTGGTAGATGGCTCCAGGGCATCTGGCATGTGAAGGGAAGAGGAGAGTTATCCCAGGCAGTGTTGCCCCCAGAAATCACTAGAGAGAAGCCTCCTGATTTTTCCACCCTGTAGCTGTTCCCTCCAAGGCTTGAGCTAGTGCCAAAAATCTGTGCTTTAAGTGAGGAACTATGGAAAGGTGGGATTGAAAGCAGTGTGTAGCTGGCTGGTATGCTTTGTGTTTGCTTCCATCTGTCTGTGCTCATACACACGGGGTTATGCATATGCATAGAAGTAAACTTATTTTTAGCAAGCTGTGGTATGTGCCTGAGGCATTTTGATGTTCTTCCCAGTTGAGTTACTGGTTCAGTTGCCCACGTGGGTGTGTGTTGACAATACGTGGAAAGCACAGCCCTCCTCAGAAGTCCATCCCTTTCTGGAGTTGCTGAGATAACTTTTTACATTGTCTTTTTGAGGCAGAGTGACTGAATTTACTTTCTTTAATTGTTTAAGGGTGATCTACAAATGCTCTTGTGAGATGGTCTTTAACAAGAAGAAGCTGCTCCAAGAGCACTTCCTGCAGAACACCAGCAAGTTGTTAGTGGGAGTGTTTAAGTGCCCACAGTGTCAGCTGGTGTATATGCAGAAGCAGCAACTAATGCAGCATGTCAAGGTAGGTAACTCTCTCCCTTACTTGTACAAGATCTTATTTGAGTTCACAGAGAATTTACATCAACCATGTGAGGCAAGCGGTTCAAGAAGTGGAAGATTCTTGAGGAATATCTTGGTGGAAAATACAGACTACAATGATTTACAGGATCTGGAAATGTCGGTGGAGTGGTTTGTGTTAGTTGGTCTTCATGCTGGCAGTTCCTCTCATCTAGATGCATTTTAGCTGTATGACAAAAACTTGTTTATACTGTTAAATCTCTCTGATGTTTAACTCTTTTATTTTCATATAAGCACGTAATCACTGGTTTGGGTTGGAAGGGACCTTAAAGCCCATCTAATTCTACCCCCTGCAGGGACACCTTCCACTATCCCAGTTGCTCCAGGTTGCTCCATTGCTATCCAATGTGTTCTTGAACACTTCCAGGGATGGGGAGTCCCCAGCCTCTTAAACTCAAAGAAAGTAATTCATGTGGCAGCTTTTTCTTCAGATGGGAGACAGGAACAATTATTCTCTGCTCACAGTGTTACTGAATTTATATAGTGAAAGCTGAATCTGCCATTTTGGGTGCTCCCCTGGAGAGCTTTGGCCCTTTGCAGCTGCCTCAGAAGGAGCTTACCTAGCATTTAACAGCCTGATTCCCTGCTGCTCTGAGCCACACCAGACTGCAGGAGGGGACTGAGAGAGGCAGAAGTGATTGCCCTGGAGGTTCTGGCTTTACAGGTTTGATTTTCCCATAAATGTAAAAGGGCTACATTTTGCTGTTATTTTGCTCGGGATGTTTTTATGTTCAGTGTCTAACAACACTCCACAAAAATAATTTCAGAAGATTTCTCAGTGGCATTCTGAAGAAAGAGCTTGCAGTCTTCTTTCCTTTTGATGAGGGGAAAAAAAAAGGACACTTTTTTAAATCAGTGACTTTATTTTGTTTATACTAACACTGAGAAAGCCAGAAGATTTGTTAGCTCATTCCTGAAAGCAAAACCCATTCAAAACTCCTTCCTTACTCTCTCCCCCATGTCTTTAACTTGCTAATCTGGAAGTGCTTTGCATGCAGTAATGAATTACAATTTGAAGCCCTCCTGTGAAGTCGATGATTGCTAATCTTGTTGCATTATAGCTAGGAAAATAAGAGTTGAGATTAAGGCTAGGACCTTCAAAGATGTTCATCCCCAATGCTCAAAAACTGGAGCTGAGATACTCACCTTGTGGTTCATTGTCAGATCCCAGCCCAGGGACCTGCCTGCAGCAGTTTGTGCATCAGCACCCGAGATGGTCACCACAAAACTTTGTCTTTTAACCTCTGAGGTAACTGAAGGCTTCTTGGCTGTGGCAGTGTAGTAATTGCACACCTCCATCTCCTCTGAGATCACCTTCATGCAGTAGCATTTTTAGGAGGTGCTGTCTAGTGTGTGCCTACATGCAAAATAAAGAATCCATGTGCTTCCTCATCTTCCTCAGGTTTAGAGTGTCGCAGAGCAGGAGTTAGCTCTGCTTCCTGGTATTGATTCTGCAGAGAAATCACTTCATTTTTCCATGCTCCTCCTTTGTTTTACCCCAGTGGTGTAACAATGGAGTAATGGGCACTGAAACACTCCAGAGATTTCCAGATGGGGAGACAGGTGATTTGTCTGTGTTCTTGAGGAGCTGGCAGGGCTGTGGCTTCTGTGGTCATCTGCTGGGCCAGGTGCAAAGTACACAGACTTCTCAGCTGAGACCTTGTGTTTGGAGGTTTGTTTGGTGTCTAACCCACAGAAAGACTTCCAAATGCCTGGGGCTTTCATGTGTTGAAACTTTACCCGTTATTAATTACTGTGCACAATTAAACCTCTAAATTAGCCTTCTGTGTGGATGAACTGTTGTTGTTCCTGCGGGAGTTTCTTGAGGTTTCTTTGGTATGTTGCTCTTTTACTTGTTTTTGCTTTCCCACAGCTCTTCATTTTTAGATTATTTTCCTTATGTTTAATTTTCTTTGTTAAAATAACTTTTTTGGGGACTTTTGGATTTTGGCCTGTTGAATAACCAAAGAGCCTAGAGCCATAGTCCTTATAAGGCTGGTTCCTGGCTTTATGCTTGGTCTTATATGTCAGAAGTAAAGTTTTGAACCATGAAAAATGTGAATATCAATAGATGGAATGGGATTGAAAGAAACAGACGTGGAGAAATGGAAACATTTTGTCTTTCCATCCCTTAAGCAAAGATGAAGCAGCTTTGGAGCGCCCAGGATACCAGCAAACATTTAATTCAGAGCTTACCAAAGCTCTGTGTTTTTAGAGCTTAGGCTGTTGAAATAATGACAATTGAAATTTCTCTTCCATTACATCTTCCCTGTTTAACCAGAGTTCCCAGGGCTCATCCAAAATGCTAAACAGGCAGCACAAGGAGGGGCTGTTGTCATGCAGGAAACAGAAATAGAAGCTTCTTGTTTCTTGGGAAGATCTCTTGTCAGGGAAAGAACTGCAGCAGCTTCTAGGAGAAATGGGAAAACATACAGGAGCAAGACAACAACACATTGTTTGGCCAGTGGGGATTTAAATAATGTATTTAAATAGCAAATGGTATTTATTTATAGATAAAGGTGTGAAATGTGAATTGCATGTAAATGTTACATGCATTTCCACTATTACTGTTACACAGGGTGTTCATGGAGTCCCCCGTAATCCTGAAGAGCTCTCAAACTTCCGGCAGAAGTCTGAGAAGGCTTCAAGGAACCAGGTTCATACCTCACCAAAGGAGCTTTTGGTAGCCAATGGGACTTCCCCCTCTCCTCTGACAAGGAAAGACATGAGGATGGAGGGACATAATCCTGAATCCAAGTCCAGACTGAGAAGAACTGGTTGGACTTGCAAGGAATGTTCACAGTGGATGCCTGATCGGGAAACCTATGTGTCCCACATGAAGAGAAATCATGGAAGGGTAAGGACTGGGGTGAAATACTTGGGCTAGCAAGCTGGGGAAGAACACCAATCTCCTGCATTCCAGGCCCCTTTGCAGGGCTGTCATTACAAGAACTGCAAATCTCAATTTTTTGTGTGTTTCATGCAGCTCAAGCCTTGCATTGCCTTGACCTACTTTTGTCAAGCTAATCCTTGTTGCTGGCAGAACATGGGCCAAGCTGCTGTGTACAGCCAGATTTCTCAGTACTTTGGCATCAGGACTTCTTGTTTGATATCCTGAGTCACCCAGCCATGAATGGGAATCTGGATCATGGTGTTCGAGTCCTTCTAGCTTGATTTGGAGAGGGCTGGGTTGTCCCACTTGATGATTTCCTCACTTCAAGAGAAGAAGATGAGGGCAGGCTAAATGCTGGATTTTCCCATTTGAATGCCACAGAAGTAGGAAATTGGCCAAATATTTCAGTTTAATATATATATGTATTCATGAAATGAGTCTAAGAAGGTTTTAACTGGAATGTACATGCAGGTTATATAAAGGGCTATAAGAAAAATTTGGAGGAGGCTGGTCACAGGACAGACTTTCTTAGGGGGATGTGAATATCTTACCTGGATAACAGATAACAGGGCCCATGTGATGGTTTTTAGCATCTTGCCCTTTTCTTGTGCTAAATTACGAGGAGTGGGAAGGGTAAGTGGACTTGTATTTAACTGGGGTCCTGCTGCCTTCTGAGGCTGAAGGGACCTTCCCCTGAGGGAATTCTGCATGGGGTCCAGTAGTGAAATGAACCTACAGGAAAAGCATATCAATAAAATCAAGCACGTGCTTTAAGTAGCTGTGACTTTATAAGATCAGTGCTGGTATTACCCAACTGTAGGGCTGAATCGTAGTGGGATCTCAAAGTCACTTTATATAATAAAGTGATTGCTATCACTTTTTTATATAAGGGATTTTTTTTGCATCTGAGAGGTAATGTGCAGGTGAAGAGCATGGGAATTAGAATCCAGTCAGTGCCTTGCATGTCCCTGGTGTTGAAAGCTGTTTCTCTTTTCGTGCCAGTCCATGAAGAGATACCCCTGTCGCCAGTGCGAGCGCTCGTTCAACGCCTCCAACAGCCTGCGCAGACACATCCGCAACAACCACGACACAGCAAAGAAAGTCTACACCTGCTGGTACGTACCCAGTGCCACTCTGCAGACTGCTTTTCAGCAGCAGTCTAATCCTCTTGAGTTTGGAAGTTGTAATAACTCTTGTCTGCTGTTCCTGCCTACTCCAGAGTAAGTTACTGAAGGAAAGTGAGGAGAAGAATGTGTTAAACACAAGAGACTTAGTGGCTAAAATAAGACCTTGTTTTTGACTGCACAGTGAATGTCTTTTGGAGGCTTAAGGGAAGGTGTGGTTTGATATCTGCAGGTAGTAAGTGAGATTAACATTTTGCATTGTTGTGAAACAGCTAATAAAATATTGGGCCAGTCTTTAACTGCTTTGTGGTTGGTGTGGTCATGCATCACTCTTGTGCCTTCTCCTTGGGTGCAGAAGGTATGTAAAATCCTAATAATGAACCAGATATTGCCACTGCTTTAGAAGGGCAGAACTGATTGCACAGGCTACAGGGCAATGGAGAATTAATCTTGCTGGAATTGCTTGGGAAGTCACACCGCAAAGTTGGAAAATGGATCTGGAGACTTGAGGGAAGTTACGGAAATCAGTGGTGAATGAAAATCATTGCTGGTCAACATATTTTAACTGTGGATACAATCTCAGTTCAGGACAAAGCCCAGTGCTTGTGAATCTACCTTTATAATTGCTGCAGATAAAGTTGTATGCTGAGTGGCCATGCAAAATTCCTTCCTGTCTCATTCCGAGACATCCTTTTGAAATAGGATGAAAGCACATTTGGGTTGGAAAAGAAGTTTGCAGTGATGCAGGTTGGGAGATTTTTGTAATTTAGCTATTTTGGTTTAATGCAAGCATTTCTGACGTGTGTTGTCATTTCACTGCACTCAAGTTGTTAAAACCTCATCTGAAAAGTACAAGTATATTCCTCAAGTAGCGTATTTCTTTGAACTATCTAGTGAGCCACAACAGCTTTTAGTAAATTGATACAGCATAGGCATTACCACTGGGAATACATTCCTGAGACACTTTTTCATCTAGGACTTCTAAACTTTCCATTTCTTGTAACTGCTCTGACTTGGAGCCTCTGGAGGAGATGAAATGTTGGCTCTTATTGTGTTTCATTCAGCTTTAATAAGTTTGTGAGTGATGGTCTTGGGTGTTACACTCACCTGATCTGTGTTAATCTGTTCTCTCTGGATCAGTTGTTTTTAAAGTGGAATGTTCCAGGATCAAAATGAGCATAAGATGTTACTGGGAAGAAGGATTTGTGTGGAAATTCCTGACAGCCTAGGATATGCAGCCTGCTGTGCATTATCTTGTTACTTTTCAGAACAACGCACAGCTGCAGATCCACTGGTTCACCCAAGGGGCAATGATCTTGCCAGCAGTGAAAACACAGCTAGCAATCCAAGGGAATTGTGGTTGCATTAAATTCTGCAGCTTGCAGTTGCTCCTTCTCAAAATCTGTTGATGAAGTCTTAATTGGACAGTGGTTGTGCTCTCTTCAATCATTGTAGGGCAGACTCACTGAAATCAGAGCACTCTGCAGATGAAACCTCTTCCTTGAAATACTCTCCCAGCATCTCCAAGAGCTGCTCCTTGTTTGGATCTGAGGTCTCTTGTCCTGTCTTCCATTTGATCCCTCTTAGCTTGTAGAGTGCTGCTCTAAAACTCTTACACTCCAGTCTCTGAAATCCTCCTTGACTTTTGTCAGCGCTCTGTAAGGCATCACATGTCTGCTGCTCCTCCTTTCTTCTGGTTCTGGTGTCTTCCTTCTTTCTGTTTGGCATTTTGTATCACTCTCACCTGTTATTCTTGTGGGGTTTTGATGCCTTAACTTCATGTCACCCTCTTCCGCTGGGTTTCCATGTGAAACATGAATAAAATCTGTCATGGATCTGATTATTGATAATTTTTGTGACTCCACCATGCTTGCTTGTAGGTGACCTTCCTCTGGCTTCTAACATTTCCAGCTGTGATTTCCCCTTTCTCCCCCTGCCCTGCTTAGGTCTAGGCTTTGGATAAATTTGTAGGGAGCAACCAGTAACTTGAACACCCTCCTGCCGTGCTTGTCACTGGAGTAATTCAGGTTAGGCAAGCATCTTTCCCTGGTCCCATGAAAAGAATTCTAAATTAGGGTAAATTGCAAAATATTGTGATGTATTGTGTATTTTCTTTCATAATTCACTTGGTTATCATTATCTTACTCTTCTTTTCCAAGTCTTAAGTACAAAGTGTCTGAAACACTTGATTTTCTACATGTTTATTTTTGATAAATACCACTTAATAACCTCTCAGCTTTCCTCCACAAAGAAGAAAAATTCCATCATCATTAAATATTGATTTAGCCTCTGAGCAATTCCTGTTAAAACCCAGAAGTATTCAATGAGCACGTCTGCATCTTCACATCATTTAATTTCCCTCTAGTTAGTGGAAGATCAGTGGGAATCTTCTTCTGTCCTTTTAGAAGATGTCTGTTTTACCCGGAGACACTTCAGCTCCTCTCTGTTGCCCTTAATCCCGTGCTGCCTCTGTCTCAGATGCAATTAGGGCACTTCAGGGGACTCTGGTTTCACTTGTCCTTGCTCAGGTCCTTGTGTAGCTGATGGACCTTCACCGTGTTGTGCTGGCAAGAATAGCAGAGATACTCAATTTTGGCTTTCCCAACTGCTGTCAGAGCCCTCTGGTGCCCTTGAGGGGGGCTGGTTTATGTCTGCAAGGCCTGGCACTTATTCTAGGAGATATCAGTCATCCAGGAGCAAAGGTGCAGATGGCACATCCCCTTCACAGCTCCTTTTTGAGAATTCAGCCAGCTCTGTAGCACCTCTGCAGTCCTGCCAGGTTCAAACATGAGTTACATATAAGTGACGCGTTCATGAGTGTTTCTGCCTGGATTGTTGGTATAAAAGTTGGAATTTCAGCAGTTTGGTAAGAATTTAAACTGTGTTGTGGTGCAGTGTGGTGGATGTAATGCTGGTTCTCCCTGGTACTTGGGAGTGCTGGGTGCAGGACTGGTTTGTGCCACACACCTCCTAGGTGTCACACGAGTCACCAGCCCTCTCTGTGTAGTTCTCTCATCTCAGAGTCTGTTTTTGTTGTTCTCCCATATGTTTTCCATCCTGATCATTTGTCCTCTTTGGCACCTGTCACAGGGTGCCTGACCCCCACTAGTCCCTATATTTATTTAGCACTGTAAAGGAGACATGCCCTACTCTCATTCATGAGCACTGTGGCAAACTCCAAACTGCTCCAGATTTCACTCACAGTGATGTTTTATTATTAAAACGATGCTTTGCTGTGTATTTTGGTAATCTGATGGTACATTACTCACCAGAGTCTGTCTCAAATTACACCTTTTGGTTTTGCACATTACGAAGAGCATATCCTCTAAATAAATTGTCTTCCTATTTTTTATTTCCAAGGTACTGCACAGATGAAAATCAGACATTTCCTCAGCCATTCATGCTGGAGAACCACATCAGCCTCATGCACGGCATCAAAAACCCAGACTTATCCCAGATGGCCAAAGCGAAAGCTCCAGAGAGAGACAGAGCAGAAGTAACTGATACCTATTTTCATGGAAAATTAAATGTACAATTAAATGTTCTTGGCGAGTAGCTGTTCATTCGGGGTGTTACGTTGAGCTGTGGCCTTGTGCCAGTCAAACCCTCCCACCCATAGGGTAGCTCTCCTTCCCTACTCAATTCCATCCAGCCTGGTTCCTTCTCGTAGGGTCAGGGTCAGCAGTGTCAGTGCAGCTGAGCTGCACAAGGACAACACACATTTGCATATTGAATTTCTCAAGATTTTCTCACAGTGTTTTGCTGGCATTTATTCAGTCTATTTTGTGATTTAAGTTTGTTATTACCCTCGTTTTCCCCTGGTACCTCATTCACGAGCATGGTACATTTTTCTTCTTTCTTCCTTATTTTTTCTGATATTTATAAAAGATTTATTTTCTGTTAAAATAATTGCTGGATCCATTACCTATGAGACCTGCATTTTTATTAAGTAGGAATGTGTAATTTTGTATAGCAAATATAACTGTTCTACTGGTTTTTGTTTTGGATTGGAGTGGAGGGTTGGCTGCTTGAGCTACTTTGCTACATTTATTTTAAAAATACACATTTTGCATATCACTGCAGGGGCATATTTAAGCAAGTCATCCTCATGGGAGAAGAAGCTGCAGGATTTTAAGATAGAGGGGATGAGTTACTGAGAGATGCCACTAGAACAAAATCTGAGTGGAGGGGAGAATGTTCAGAGTTTAATCTGAGAAGGGTTGTCTGGGCTCTTGACCACCCCTGTGTGCCTCAGCTGTCCCTTTTCTGTGGATTCCTCCTTCCCACACTAAAATCTGAGTTGTTCCCACACCAAACCAAATTTTTACCCAGAGAGGTCATGGCTACCCCATCCCTGGAAGTGTCCAAGGCCAGGCTGGACAGGGCTTGAAGCAACCTGGGATAGTGGAAGGTGTCCCTGCCCGTGGCATGGGGTAGAACTGGATGAGCTTTCAAGTCCCTTCCAACCCAAACCATTTCATGATTCCTTGATTCTAAACTATTTCCCCATCGTTTTTCTGCTCAGCCAGCCTCTCGCAGCGTTCCCATCTCACATCACGGCACAGCAGTTGAAATCCTGTGCACCAGTTGAGGTTTTTGGGTGTGGGGAGGGAAGGGAATGCCCCAGGAATCCCTAGGCATGACTTCACCCTCGGGCATCTTCAGACACGCGTGTGGATTCTAGCACTTTCCCTTGGGTTCAAATGATAAAGTAACTTTTTAATCTTATTTTTTAAAGGCAAAATCTCCAAAGAGGATGGCACTGGATGAGCTGGGTCAGGCAGAGAGCACTGCGGGTTTGGACGCGCCGCCAGCCAAAAAACTGAGAGCGCCTTGGAAATGCGCTAAGTGCAGCTTTGTGACGGACGTCCGGACTGAGTTCCAGGAACACATACCTCGGCACAAGACCGACAGCTCCACCTTCCAGTGCTTGTTCTGCGGCCTCTGCTACACCTCCCACATCTCTCTGAACAGACACCTCTTCATCGTTCATAAAGTCAAAGATGAGGAGGAGGAAGAGGAGGAGGAGGAGGAGGAGGAGGAAGATGAGAGGCAGAAGTTACAAATAGAGATGAGTAAGAATGGACACGAGGACTACAATGGCGAGTTGAACACTACGGTGGAAGAAGAAAACAAGTACAAAGAGTGCAAAAGGGACTCAGCTCTTTGTGAGCACAGTCAGACGTGTGGCACAGAAGGCCCCAACAGCACCTCACAGAACAATCATTCAAAGTCTCTTAAGACTTAAAGGCAAAAAAAAGCCCTTTTGGTTGATTGGGGGTTTTTTGTTGGGGGGTTTCTACTCAAAATACAGGGTGGGGATGGGGCAAATCTTTGAAATATTCTGTTGATTTCTTGGGATGGACGTCGCAACTCCTATTTGTAAGGGAAATTTAAAACAGAAAAAAGCAAAACCAGCCCTGCCATTGCATCCTAAGCACTAACTCTCTGCCAGCCCAGAGAGGTGAAAAGGGAAAGCAGGGCCAGAATCCTCAGTGGGATTTGACCAGCTCCTGAGGATCCAGGAGCACTTTGCCGCTGCAGTTTCCTTCAGACGAGCTCTCCTCCTTTGAGTGTGCACCACCTCAGCCTCTGCCCAGAGCCCCGGCCTCGCCTTCCCAATCTCCCTTTCTTTCTCCTTCTATTTATGGCTTCTTTTTTCTCTCCCCATCCTGCCTTTGTGTTACTCATTTTAACTCATAACGCTGGCTCAGCCAAACGTGCTTGTCAGGACCGTGTTGGCCGATCTGGGATCTGCGTTACACGGGATGGGTTCGAGCTGTAAGTTATGCTGGTTATTCTTTAGTTGCCCAAATAACAACATTCTTTTCCAAAATGCAGTTTAATGAAATGTCTTGGATCCGAATCATCCTTGAAAGAGGATTTTATAGCCCCAGTCCTCCCCGGTGAGCAAGGTGTTGAGGAGGGCCTGGTCCCCTCGGGGCATGTTTGCTGTTTGTCTGGAAGCCAGCCTGGGGTGGGCGTTGCCAGGCCCGGTGCTCAGTGGCTCATCCCGGTGGGGAGCTCAGACTGGCACCATTGCCAGAAGGGGATAAATCCCCCATTCCCTCAGTGGGGTCAGCTGCAGTGTACATCCAGAGCTCCTGATGTATCGGTGCCCAGGCTCCCTGACAGCTCATTTTGAGAGGAGAGGAGCAGAGCTCAGCTCACAGAGGTGTTGGAACAGCAGGAGCCACCATCCTGCAGCGCGGCAGGGGCTGGCACTCCATCAGTAGCTCCATAACTCCTCTCCTGCTGTGGCTTGGCACTACCCATCCTTTAGGAGATGTTTCTTTCCATGTAGTCACATTGACTCTTTCTCCCTCATTCCTTGTCACACCCATGCTTTGTGTAATACAGTTACCTTCTATACCATTATTTTTTTTCATTCTGTTGAGCCAGAACTCTGCTTGTTATTGTTTACTCTGACAATGTTTAAATAATTTAAGAACTATTTATCTCCTTGCTTGGGCTCATCACCATCTGGTCTTGTGATGCTTGGATATGGCCTGCTGGAACTGTGTGGGTGTTGACTGGTGTGTTTGGATGAGTAAAGGCTGGATGTGGGGTTTTGGTTGGATGTGGGGTCGGTAGGATGGGGGAGGTTGGGAGGGGTGTTATAGGGGGTGTAGGTTAGGTGAGATGTTGGCTGAATGGGGTGTGAAGTGTAAGGAGTGTTGGGTGTTGTTGAATAGGGGTTTGGTTCGATGTGTGTTGGCCGGGTGTTCCGTGGATGGGAGTGACTGGAAGAGGCATGGATGGAGTTGGGCCATGGTTGGATAGCTTTTGATGGAGTGGGCATTGCTGGACGTGGTGCTTGAGTTGGATGGGTGTTTTGTTGGGTGTGGAGTGTTGGTTGGATGGGTGTTTTGTTCGGTGTGGAGTGTTGGTTGGATGGGTGTTGTGTTGGATGCAGGTGTTGGGTGTTTTGTTGGGAGCGGGTGTTCGATGGATGGATGTTTTGTTGGGTGCAGGTGTTGGGTGTTTTGTTGGGTGCGGGTGTTGGATGGATGGGTGTTTTGTTGGGTGCAGGTGTTGGATGGATGGGTGTTTTGTTGGGTGCAGGTGTTGGATGGATGGGTGTTTTGTTGGGTGCAGGTGTTGGATGGATGGGTGTTTTGTTGGGTGCGGGTGTTGGGTGTTTTGTTGGGAGCGGGGTGCTGAGCCGGGTGCGGTGCCGGGCGCTCTCTAGGGAGCGGCCAAGGCGCGGCCCCGCTCCGGCCCCGCTCCCGCCGTCCCGGTGTCTGTCCGGCCCCGCTCCCCGTCCCGGTGTCCAGCCCCGCTCCCCCGTCCCGGTGTCCAGCCCCGCTCCCCGTCCCGGTGTCTGTCCGGCCCCGCTCCCCGTCCCGGTGTCCGGCCCCGCTCCCCCGTCCCGGTGTCCGTCCCTCCCGGCGGAAGCGGCGGTGACGCGGCGGAAGCGGAAGCGGGAGCGGGAGCGGGAGCGGGGCCGTGCGGGCGCGGCGGTGGTGGCGGCGGTGGCGGCGATGCTGTCGCTGGACTTTCTGGACGATGTGCGGCGCATGAACAAGCGGCAGGTGCCGGAGGGGCCGGGGGGCAAAGCCGGGCGGGCGGACGGGGCCGGACCGCCGCGCCGTGCGCTGGCGGCCGGGCCTGACCCACCCCCTTTCTCCCCAGCTGTACTACCAGGTGCTGAACTTCGGCATGATCGTGTCCTCCGCCCTCATGATCTGGAAGGGGCTCATGGTGGTGACGGGCAGCGAGAGTCCCATCGTGGTGGTGCTGAGGTCAGTCCCGGGACGCGGGGGTGAAACTCCCAGCGGGTTTGGCCGGGCTGGGGAATGGCCGGGCCCCGAGGGGCATCTCCGCAGGGATGGCTCAGACACACCCGCAGCCCCAGCGGAATCCAGGCTCGGGAACAGCGAGGGAAGAGGGAGCGGGCAGGGAGAGCATCTCACCTCGATCTGTCAGCTGGCTGACTTTATACCCGGACAGGCAGTGATGGGACATGGGGTGTGACAGTGACAGCACTGCCAGAGGGCAGGCTTAGAGCGCTCAGTGGGAAGAAATCTTTCCCTGTGAGGGCAGCGAGGTCCTGGCACAGGCTGCCCAGAGAAACTGTGGCTGCCCCTGGATCCCTGGAAGTGTTCCAGGCCAGGCTGAACAGGGCTTGGAACACCTTGGACTAGTGGAAGGTGTCCCTGCCCACGGCAGGGGTAGAACAGGATGATTTTTAAGGTCCCTTCCAACCCATCTGCAATGATTCAATGACTGTCCATTACAGGGGTGATCCTGAGTTTAAGGGTTGTCACTCTGTCACTGTATGTTTTGGGTGTCACACATTGTCCTTACAGCAGTGCCCTGCAGTGGGTACCACCAGTGTTTCTCCCACCTTCCTGCTGCCTGGGACAAATTCCTTGGGCTGCCATTGAATGCTGGCATGGATATTACACCTGCTCTATGGCCATATTGGCCTTTTTTTGTGTTTCTGTGTCAGTTTTCATGATGTAGAAATGCTGTAATGCCATGACCAAGTGCTGCTTACCAAAACTCCCTCCTGATGAGGTACAGAGCAGATGTTTTTCCCCCTGCTCCTCCCAGTGAGTGAGACAGGGGCGGTGAGGTCACAGCCCCTCTCCAGTGATTGATCTGTTGTTCTGAACTGCATCTGCTGTGCTCTGTGAAGATAAAACACAAATGCACGTGGTACTTGAAGTTCATTGTTCTGGTTTGCATTATTTATGTGGAATTAGGGAGGATAAGTAGTTGGTAACAATTGCCATTCACAAGATAGAAGAAAAATAACTTGAGTCGTGGTGCCTGAAATGAGATAATTAAGCAAAGCAATGAATCACAGTAACAAATTTTTGGCAAGTCCCTTTGTCTGTTTCAGATGGGAATGCTTTGAGTTCTTTGTTTCTGAGGATAATCTGTCTATCTCTAAAAACTAAATTGAATAAAATAAAGCTTCCCATCATTACAGAGCTGCCAGCATTGCCCTGCCAATGGTGAGCTCAGAAATCAAAAGATAGTGTTCATCCTCAGCTTTTTGCTTATTAAAAAAGCTTTTCCCTTTGCATGTGCTTGTAACACCAGGTACTGGCACTGCTTTTTTCCCAACAAATCCAAACTGCTGGGAATATGATGGTTAAAAACCTGATTGCAATAGAGGTTACACAGTTGCCCAGTCTCCAAGGTGGTTTTCTCAGAAGCTCTTCATCAGGGTTTCAGCCTGGTCTTGAACACTCCCAGGAACGGGGTATCCACAGCTTCTCTTTCTCATTAGCTTCTTGTGAGATTTTTCTTAAAGGGCCCTGAACTCCAAAACCTGGTACTGAGTGTTTAAATGTTGTTCAGTTGTTCCTCTCCTCTTTTTCAGTGGGAGTATGGAGCCTGCTTTCCACAGAGGAGATCTCCTGTTCCTCACCAACCGAATTGAAGATCCAATCAGAGTGGGAGAAATTGTCGTCTTTAGGATAGAAGGAAGGGAAATTCCTATAGTCCATCGTGTCCTGAAAATCCATGAGAAGTATGTTAAGAATGTGGGGGTTCTGCTGCTGGTGTTTCCCTAACTGATGTCCTTCATCTGCTTGGGTAAACAAGTGGGGGATGTCAATCATAGAAATCCAGGTGCTGTAACACAGAAGTTTCAGACAGACAAAATCTGTCCTGCTTTGTTTACTTGTAAAGATCATCCAGCAGAAGGCACAAGCTGTGCCAGTGCCCTGGACACTGCAAAGTGTACAATCATGGAAGGGTTTGGGTTTGGGACCTTAAAGCCAGTCTCACTCCACCCTGTGCCAAGGGCAGGGACACCTTCCACTATCCCAGGGTGCTCCAAGCCCTGTCCAGCCTGGCCTTAGACGCTTCCAGGGATCCAGGGACAGCCACAGCTTCTCTGGCACCCTGTGTCAGGGCCTCAGCACCCTCACAGGGAAGAATTTAATCCTTATGGCTCATGTAACCCTGGCAGTGGGAAGCCATTGCCCTGTTACTTTAGGGCCTGTGTTTGCAGTCCCTCTCCATCTCTCTTGGAGCCCCTTTAGGCACTGGAAGCTGACACCACTGACTGTCCCTCTCTGTCCCGAGCTGCTGTGCTGTCTGCTGTAGCATGGCTGCATTTGTGTGAGAAGTGAGTCTTGTTTGTGGGGCACAGCTGTGGCAGAAGGGTGTTCATGTGTAGTGTGTGTTATTTTAGAGCTTGTCTCTATGGTCCTGGTCTTTGCTGTCATGCAGACTTTCACCTCTCTAGGAAGTTGTATTGTTGTCCTCAGAGTCTTTGTGTACTGGTCACTCTCAGCACTGGGGAGGTTGTGTGTCTAAAGGAATGGAACAGGCATTCTTTTCATGGCTGATCAGAGCTTAGTTTTCCAGCCAAGGCTTCCACTGCACTCGTGAGCTTTCCTGTTTTGGGGGATGGAACTGTGGACTCTCCAGGCCAGTCTGTGGGAATATGAGCCAACCATGTGAGTTGTTTGAGTGAAAACTGAATCTTGAACTGAATCCCTGATTCCTCAATCCTCTGATTCTCAGGGAGGCAACAGCTGGTTGGGGTCCCAGCATCTGTTTCTGCTGAGTGAATGTTTTCTGACGTGAGCTGGAGCTGAGCCAGGTGGCATCTGTGGATTCCTCTAGTTGAGACATTGATGGGATGCACAGGGTCCATTTCCCAAAGCTGTTGGAATATCCAGATCAATTATCTGGTCCAACTGAAGGATGACCAGCCTTGTGCACATAAATACACAGCTGGAATCCTGGCTCTGAGGTAATGAAAAGATGCCTCTCCCAGTAGGCAAAGCACATTCTTTGCTGTTCAGATTTATTCTGTGCCCAGAACAGTGTCAGTTTTTAAAGTGCTGTTTGTTGATACCACTGATTTAAAAATAAGGTCAGTTTATGGGCTGAATTTGACATCTAATGATGCATGAGCATTTTTTGTAATGTTGTGGGGACTCTTTCAAGTGAAATGCAGTTTTCCTCCTCCCCTGTTCTGTGCAGCATTTTCTCTTCAGATGTTGCCCACCCTTCTTTTTTTGCCTGGCTCTATCGAGATATTTGGGTATCAAGCACTATTTTTTGTTTAAATGTAACAGGGCCATAGTGCCAATCCTGGGAGGGTGAAACCATTCTGCAGTATTTTAGGTTTCATTTAACTGAAACAACCAAACACAAACCTAATCTTTTTATTAGGAGAGATAAACTGAAAAATCCACATTGCAGCCTGAACCTGGGAGCAGTTGCTTCTTTCACTACTTCTAGTACCAGTTTGGAAGTAAAAGTCTCTGCAGAAGCTGACAGGAGTGTCAAAATACAGGAAGACAGAAACAGTGCTCTCTATGATTTGGGCCAGCTCAGGCCCCAGTTCACATCAGTAATGTGTCAGTGAGAAAATATCTGTTACTTGCTGGCCTTTTCTTCTTGTTTCAGCCCAAAATTGAATTTGTTCTTTATTACTAACACAGAGTCTGCATTCAAAACTTACTTAGTGGTTTTGGAGCAGGGTCAGTCACCTCAGACAGCAGAGAAGTGCACCATGGGCTTCTCATGCTGCGTTGTGGCAGAGCCCTGACTCTGCTCAATAAGGTGCTACACTTCTACACCATCACTGTTCAGAGTTAAACAACATTATCTGCACCTCTGGGGATCTTTGTCTTTTCCCAGGCAGTGTTTGTTGTTCCCACACAACAAGCCAGATGTGCTTTGGTGAAAGAGATGTGGGTTTTTTTCCCTTTTTCCTTTCCAAGCTTCTCCTGTCCTGGAACCTTTTGGTGTTCAGGCATGATGAAAACAGCCTGAGCTCCAAAGAACTGCCTGCTTTCCCATTCTGCATTCCATCTGTCATTTCTGAGAGCTGAGATTCAAGCACTGAGGACACTCCTGCTCAGCACCTGCCTGCAGGTGCCACAGGAAGGTGACAGTGGCGAGTCCCTGGGTAGTGCCATGGGCTGCTGTCCAGCATCTGAACAGGAATGGCTAGGACAGAATCTACAAACCTTTTTCCTGGTCAAAGCAAAGATTCATCTGCTCCACAATCCTGATTCTGGCAAGCTAATTCATCTCAGGATTAATTAAAGACTAGAGAGAATCCAGTTTAGTCTGTAGTGATAATTTCCCTGCTTTCTGCAGGTTACAATTTCAAGCACAAAGTCCTAGTTCTTTATGAGTAGCCTAATTTCCTCTTTTGTGTGGAGTATTGGGTCAATTTTTCAGCCAGTATAATTTTTTGCCAACCGAAATACCTTTGCAGAGAGGCATGGTTTAGTTTGCACTGTGCCTATTTCTGCAAAGCACCTTCTCTGTCTGGTTTTAACCCATTACTTCTGAGCTCCTTTGGTACCCTGGCTCTTGCATTGGAAGAGACAGTGAAAAGCTGTTTGATTGTTGCTGTCATTTGTGGTGGACTATGTCATATCTTCATCAGTTCTGTCCTTTCCAGGCTGGAGAGTCCTGGTCTGTAGTTTCCTGTATGGAAGTGGTTGCAGACCTTGTTAATAATTTCTCAACCTTTGCTGGTTCTTCTCTCCATTGCAGAAAAGGATCTGGGGGGCTCAGCACTGCCCAGAGCATTCCAGATGTAGGCACCTTGTGAGTTCATGCAGTGTCATCGTGGTATTATTTGGTTTTTTTTGTCCCCCTTTTCTAATCAGTTCTAAGTTTCAGCTTGCTTCTGCCCACTGCTGAGTAGAGCTGTGTGCTTCAATCCCACCCTCTCCTTTTGTCTGGTAGTAGGGAGACCAGAACCCAACATTTGAAGCAAGAGAAAGATCAACACAAGACAGGTCAAAAGCCAAGAGGCAATAGCTGCACCTGCACTAGAAACTGTTCTGGACCTCTGCTGGAGAGCTTGGCTGGGGCCAAAATTCATTCTTCCCATGACCATTTTTTCCAAACCATCTGCTTTCTGCTGCATTTGACAGTATCCCTCTTTTATCCTCCTTGAATTGTAGGACATGGGTGCTTCTAGTGCCCTTGTGTTGGTCTCTCCGTGCTTGTTGTAGAACAGCTTTTAACAAGTTTCTGTCCTGCTTTACCTGCTGTCTTGTCTTTACCAGGCAAAATGGAGACATCAAATTTCTGACAAAGGGAGACAACAATGCCGTGGATGACAGAGGACTCTACAAGCAGGGGCAGCACTGGCTGGAGAAGAAGGATGTCGTAGGACGAGCAAGAGGGTAAGTGAAGTTAAAAATGATGGGGCTTTTCACACTGCTGTCCCCAAAAGTCATCTGGTAAATCCCCCCTTGTGTTGAGCTGTCCCTGCTGGGTTTTGTAACCTGCCTGAGAGTGTGGAGAGTTCAGTTCTTAGTTTGGCTTAAGCAAAGGCATTGAATTGTGAGCTGTGTCCTGAGATGTTGGTGCTGGATGGACACAGATGGAAGGGTAGCGTGGGCTCAGACTTGATCAGAATTGTCATCAGATTTGTCCTGGGAGGCTCAGTGTTTGCAGGCAAGGGAAATCTGAACCAGGCATAGGCTGAAACACCCTCTGGGCTGGTTGTCACTCAGGACCACTGCCACAGGGAAGAAAAAGTCACCAGCCCATTGACTGCATGCTTGAGTGACTCTCCCTCTGCACCCTGGATTAGTGTTTGTTTTAAGAAAACCTTTCTTCTTTTAGATTTGTGCCCTATATTGGAATAGTGACTATCTTAATGAACGATTATCCAAAATTTAAGGTAAGAGCTCTTCTATTTCCTGCCTGCTTTTCCCACCCCAGCTATAACTCCTTCATAAGAACACGGGCAGAGCCCTGTTCCCTGCACGTTTGCTGCCGTAGATGTCAGTGTGCACTCCTGTGTCTCTGCTCTCTCTTCCAGTATGCAGTCCTCTTTTTACTGGGTTTATTTGTGCTGGTCCATCGAGAGTAGTCCCTTGTACTGAACTTCGAGATGAAGGTGCCATGGATTTTTCTAGATGAACATTTAAAGTAGCTGATGGTCTGATGTACCAGGAGAAAGAAGAAAGCATGCATTTCAAAGCTTCGTGCCAGTTTGGGTTTGTTTTGGTTTTTACTGCATAAGGGGAATGTTTGTCACAGTATTTCCAATGGTTTGTCACATTTTAGCCTTTTTAGTGAATTTTTATATTAAAAATTTGAGCCAAAGTGTTTAGTGCTTGTACTTTGAAGCTGAGCTTCCTCTCCAAGTGCCTCTGGGACCGTGTTCTCAGTGTGTTCCTGGCCGGGCCAGGTGCCCCCTCCCTTGTGCTCACTGAACTGTCCAGTGGTGAGTTGTGGCCATGACAGTTTTATCCCAATTCAGAACTGGAATAAAGATTTTGCCTCTTGCCACGTTTTTTGTTATTGCCCTGATGAGAGCAGCCTCCTGGGGGATACCTGGGCTTTGCTGTTACACACTCACTCCTAGAGCCACCATCTAACTTGTTCTCTCTTCACAGCAGTAACAGCTGCTCCTCTCGCCTCTTTTTGGACAATAATCTGTCCAGAGCTGTAGATCATTCAATAATTCTGTGTTTCTGTAAATCACACTGAAATAATCTTTCTAAACACTGCAAAGTGTTTGGGGTAGAAGATGGCAAAGGATTACTTTGTGCATAGTGGCATTAGGTAACAGAAGGATTGAGATGAAATACCCACAGCTCTTTGACAAGGGATTATTTAGCAGGATGCAATAATAAAAAATACTTAGTTTTGGAAAAGGGTTTCAGGTGTCTTGTGAGCTGGCCAAGTCTCACAGCTCACCTGAAAGCTACAGACTGCCCTGGGGTCTGAAATAAAAATCCCACAACAGCTGTTTTTTCTGAGCTTCTCATTCAGGCTTGTGATCCTGCTGGTGGAGGTTGTCAGAAAGAGCCCAGGGAGGAGGTGCAAGGCAGTGATGCTGCAGTTTATCAGCTCTTCTCCATGACTGCTCCAGGAATCATTGCAGATGGTCACTGCAGTCACACACACAGCGTGTATAAAGCAAAAGCAGACAGGAAAAGCAAGGACAAAACCCAGTGGGGTGTATATGGCTGTTTGCAGTTTCTTGCATATGTCTCTCCTTGGTTTGCCTCTCCCATCTCTGGAGGTGAATTGTGCCATTTTACTGGTTTTGATGTTACCAGGTGCTTTGTTCCCTATGTAGGATAAAGCAAACATCGCCTGTAGGGCCCTGCAAAGTCTACAAACAGGTTCAACCTCCAGCACTGAGCCACCTTGGGCCTGTGGCTCTGAGTAATCATAACTTCATAATAAAAATGGTAATAAAATCTGTATCTCTTGCCCCCAGTGTTACAGCCTTTGAGAGGAAAATGTGGATAAAGCTTCTCTTTAATTATTGAGTTAAGGATGAGATGTTCTGTCAAAAGTCAAACCCAGGCAGCACTGAGAGAGCAGAGAATCTTTGAGAGCTGCTATCACTACAGAGCACCTTCCTGAGGCATTTCTGCCTTTGCAGCTCATGTGGAGCCCCAGTCTGTCCCTGCTTTGCCTTGAGCCTTAACAGCTTTTGTGCATTAATGAGTTTTAGACTTGGGCTCACACAAAGGGCTGAGTTGAGCTTGTCTGAAAGCTGGTAATCAACACCTCCCCATAAACACTTGCTGGGAGTGCTGCTGCTCTCCAAGTCCCTTTGAGACCTACAAAATTCTCAGCATGTGAAAGCAGTTGTATTCCTGTCACTGAGTTAATTTAACCAAAAAGGCTGAAACACAAAGGAGTATGGAGCAAGGTTTAGCTCTCAAAGTGCCGAGCCTGCAGTTCTTTGGCAGGCTGATGTGTCCAGGGGGTGGCAGCTGGTGTCAGGAGTCCCTGGGCTGGGGGACACAGGGCCAATGTGAGCTCTTGCAGGAGGATATGCCTGGCTCTTGCCTGGTGCTGTGTGAAGGAATTGAACAAAAAGTGCTTGAAAAATGCAGGGTGGTTGGGGTGAGGGGTGACAGGAGCCCCCACTGCAGCCCAGCTTCAGCGGCTTCTCTGCAGGGTCTGCAGGCTCTTGAAGAACAGGAACAATTGCCCTAAACCAGGGGCTGCCATGTGGCATTTGGGAATTCATCTCCGCAGGCCCTGTTGTGCCTGTTTGCAGCTCTGTGCAGCTGAGAATGTGGTTCTGTTTCCTGCAGTTGTGAAATGGGGAGATGACTCTAATTAGGCTGAGAATAATTTGGCAGTCAACCCCATCACAGCTCTAACATCCACCACCTCCCATGCCACCTCCCACATGGCCTCCTGCCTTCCAGCAGCACCTTTCCTGCCACAGTGGGATGAGGGAGTGTTGGGATGAGCCTGCACAGGCTGGAAACTGGGGATATGGGGGCAGGGTGACACACAGTTCTTGCTGGCTCCATCCCCGCCAGATTTATTCTGCTTTGCTGAGCAGAAATGCCACGGAGTGAGCTGGATGTCTGGCTGGGTGCTGATGCTGAGGTGTTTGTGAGCACTGCTGAGCTCCCACAGAGCCAGAGTAGTTGGTGATAGAATTTGATGTGTTTTATGTTTTATTTCAATTTTATGCTGCTTTTTTTTTAGAGGTGAAACTGTCTGGGCGGCTCCAGCAAAGCCAGTGACACTGGAGGCTCTGGAAATGGATGGAGATCTTCATGTCACCACAGGAATGGGATTTGCTTGTAAAGTACGTGGGTGTTGAAAGGTCTGGTTTTTAAAGGAGAAAAAAAAATGAAGGAGAAATCTGCCAGGGCTCATTGCTCCTGTGTCTGTTGTGGTTGGTTACAGCCAAACAGGGCAGGTTTTCTGGTAGCAATTCCAGTGCTTAATTAGAGTTCAGTCACATCCACAGTTCAGGGCACAGATTCCTCCATGGGCAGGAGCTATTTCATGAAGCAAAGCCATGCTGGGCTGTGTCTGATGGCTGCTGGAATTCTAGTGGGTGATATTTTTTGTATCAAAGCTAAATGCATAAGCAAGAGCGTGATGGTTGGGAAGTGAGCTGTGAGGGGTGATGTGCTGTAGGCTGGAGCTCTGTGAGACAGGCTGGTTTTGTGTATTTATGATGCTTTAGTGCACAGTTGTTGGTTGAACAGCAATGAGCATCACGATGCTTCATCCAGATCTGTTGCTGCTTACTGCTTTGCAGGGGTTCACAGGGCTCAGGTTTTGTCAGATGGTCAGTTCCCCACTGTCTTTAATGAGATTGGGTAATTTCATGGTGATTTTCGTGCCCTTAAAATCAGAACAGATCAACTGTATTTTTTTCCAAGGAGCATCTTCAAGATGAAACCTGGTCCATGCATGAAGACCACTCTCTGCTGGAGAAATGCACAACACAAAGAAAATATGCAGCTCCCAGGACAGCCCAAAAGTTGATCAGGAGAAGGAGAGGAGACACAGGAGAGAGAAGAAAGAGAGGAGGTGCTTAGAGCCTTAGAGCTCCTGTGCCAGAGCAGGGGCAGTGCAGAGCAGCTGTTGGTATGACCCACACGGTGCCAGTGACTCAGTGGCTGAATCAGATGAGGAATGTCCTGGTTCCATCCTCCAGGGAGGTGCCCTGGGCTGATGCCAGAAGGGCCCAGCCTGTGCCATTCCCACAGTGTCAGCAGCTCAGGGTGGGAATTGATGTGTGGTGGGTGACTGATCTGACTCTCTGGGAGAAGAGAACCAGCACCCACGGTGTGTTTTGAGCCAGCTGAACAGCCTCCTGCCTCTTTTAGCTTTCCCCAGCCTCATAACACTTTGGTCCCTTTGCACACAGATTCTCACCTGTCAGGAGCCACAGGTCTCTGCCAGAGTAGATCACCAGCCTGAGCATGTTGGATTCATGTGGGACACAGGGGCTTTCCTTAGAAATCTGCCTTGGTGACTCTATTTTGCCCTAATTGGATGGCTTTGCTGTGGTTTCCTAGCCTGCCCTGCTCTGAGAGTCTCTCTCCATGTTTGCTTATCCCTCAGTTTTTGTGAAAAGCCACCAGCTCCATCACACCCAGTCCTGCTGCCCCATGGAGCAGGACCTGCCTGTGTGTGCTGGCCTGCTGGTTGAGCACGTTGTGTGTCAGACCTACTCCAGCTCATGGGGAGGTTCATACACTTGTTCAGTTCTAGCAGGTCCTGTGAATGCCTGATCCAGCAGGGTTCCCTAAACCTCAGGGGAAAGAAACATCTTCACAGAGAACAGTTTAAATAGGGATGGACTAGCAATTCAGCTTTTGTGATTCAGACCCTCTGTGATCCAGGATGGAGCAAATGCTCTCAGTCTCTTGCTCCTTCAGCCCAGCTCCTCATCTTTTGACTATTTGTGCTCCTTCTGTTTAACAATTCAAAAACCCTTCCTGCATCTCGCTTCACTGAACATCTTGGTATCACCTTTGTTTTCCAACCTCCCCTTTCCCCACATAAACAGTCCTGAAGGAAAAATAATATGGAGGAAATTAACTTCTCTGAGCCTTAATTCACTCAAACTGGGATGTCAGATTTCTGCTGTATAATTCTGGCTGGGACACTTCTGAGCTGGGTCTGCGTTTGCCTGGAAGAAAACACGATTTTCTTCTCTAAGTCTTCTTGCAGAGCAGTTATTTGTGTGTGTCCAGCAGTGTGGAGTGAAAGGGAGACCTCGGGGAAAACCACAACCCATTTACAGCTTAAATGAAAATTGAAAATGAGTTGAAAACAAGATGTGCAAGATTTCAAATTTTATCTTTTATAAACAACAGCTATTGCCTGTGGACGAATGGATGTAACAGAGGGATTTAATTTTGGTAAACAAGAGAAAAATGCATCAAAATAGACCCTCAGGCATGTGGCAAGACCTGGCTTTGGAAAAATAATGCAGAAGAAGCTGAAGCAACCTAACTGCTACTAAGAGTTTTATTGGCACAGGAGCTCTGTGAAAGAGACAAATAGGCACATTCAAAGCCTTTGCACTTTGTATTTGTTTTTTATTAGAGTCATCAGTTTGAGCACATATTTGCCTGCCCAGGTGGATATTTGCAGGGCCTGGAAAGCTTCAGCTCCACAGCATGGAGTCCCTCCCTTGTCAGCATGGCCACCTCTCTTGTGGGTGCAGACAGTGCCAAAGGTACTAAAACATGGGATCTCAGAATGATTTAGGCTGGAAGGGACCTTAAAGCCCAGCCAGTCCCACCTCCTGCTGTGGGCAGCAACTAGCCCAGGTTGGTCAAAGCCATGTCCAGCCTGGCCTTGGACACTTCCTGGGATGGGGCAGCCACAGCTGCTCTGGGCACCCTGTGCCAGGGCCTCACCACCCTCCCAGCCAGGAATTCCTTCCCAATATCCCATCCATCCCTGCCCTCTGCAGTGGGAAGTTATTTCCCCTTGTCCTGTCCCTCCAGGCCCTTGTTTGAAGTCCCTCTCCAGCTCTCCTGGAGCCCCTTCAGGCCCTGGCAGGGGCTCTGAGCTCTCCCTGGAGCCTTCTTTTGTCCAGGTGAGCATCCCCAGCTCTCCCAGCCTGGCTCCAGAGCAGAGGGGCTCCAGCCCTGAGGACATCTCTGTGGCCATATCTGGACTTGCTCCACCTGGTCCATGTCTTTCTTGTGCTGAGGACTCCAGACCTGGATGCAAAGCAGAGAAACAAAATGGCCCTTGCTTTAAAGCCCTTGAACCAGGGTATTTTCAGGTTGGTCTGTTACGTGTTAGTGAGGCCCTTTTGGCTGTGCAGTTTTTACGTCCATTTATTTTGCCTAGCTGTAGTTTCCTTTCTTTACCTGGTTAAATCCTGCTTTATCTTTAGGTGCATTTAGAGGATTTGCTACTAGTGCTTGTTTCACACGTCTGTTATTGCTCATCTTATCCCCACTTGGACAGGAGTTTGGTAAGGAACAGAACACCCTAAGAGTAGACTTGGAACTTGGCGAAGGAATTCAGAGGTTTATGGGCAAGGTGAGCCCACAGGGATCATCCCCAAAGGTATTTGGCAAGGTTCCTCAGCAAAGGCTCCCGAAGGAAGGAAGCAGCCCTGGAACAGGTGGTGAGATCCTTACAGGGGACATTGCTAAAAGGTAAAGAACAAGAGGGAGAAGGGAAGAGGGAAAAGGCTGGGTAATAAAAGAGATTAAGTTTCAATGTACATCAATATAAAATGGTGCACAGGGAGAAAAACCAATTTTAACTCTATTTATGAAACAACGGGATCCAAGTTAAGTGTTACCATCTAAAACATCGGGGTTGTTACAGATTGTGCTGTGAAAATGTCAGTTCTGTGGTCAGCAGCCATCCAGAGTAAACTGAGTGTGTCAATTGCTGGGGGAAAACAACAAAACAACCCTTGCTCCCTCTGGCTGAAAACATCTGAGGATTCCTGGAGCTTTGAGGTGTTTTGGGTGGGAAGGGACATTCCTGGAGGGTGTGGGGCTGTGTAGGGCTGCTCTCACCCAGCCCCGAGGGGAAATCTTGCAGAGAGGGGAGGGGGAGCTCTGTGCAGACCCTCCTCTGCCTCGAGGACCTAACCATGGGCAGCCTGCCACTTTCCAAGGAGTCACCTCTGGGGCTGCCAACAGCCCCATCACCTGGGAAAGTCGGTGTGCTGACCTCTGCCAGCAAAACTGATTTATAAAGCAGAATTTCTGCAGGTTTTTTTTTTTAATATATAAGCTGGGAAGATTCCCTTGGAGGCTGGTGGCTGTTGGGAAGGTGAATCTCTGCTGAGCTGGACTCAGCAAGTGGCAGAGAAGCGCTGCAGTGTCAATTCCTGCCTGGAATGCTGGAAGTCCCAGCAGGCTCCAGGCTGGGTGTCTTGCTCTGACCCACCAAAGTGGGACAAAAGGGAGAGGCAGAAAATATACCACAAACCCCACCAGGCTGGTGACCAGGTTCTGCAGCTCAGGTCCCGGAGCCCTTCCCAAGTAGTCTGGGTGCCAGTTATTTTCCCTCAAATTAGGAGCAACATCTTTGTGAAGCATGGAAAATCCAGAAAAAATCTGGTCTCTCTGTTGGTGTCTGGGGCTGATATTTACCAAAGCTGCTGTGGAGGAAGGAATTGCTGTTCCTGCCTGGATCACAGCACTGCTGCTGCTGCTCAGTGAGTGCTGAGCTTGGGGTCCTTCCACCAGCTGTTTCCCAATAAAGCCCCACTGGCTGCCCTGAATTGTGCTCCACTTGCAGCCTCCAACATGTCTCTGAGTAGCTGTTCTGGTGCTCTTTCCAGACTTGAAATCAGGGTTATGGGCTCACATCTCCCACACACACATTGTGAGCTCAAGCCTTGGTACTCAGCAATTAATCTGACACCCTCTCAGTTTTTGAGGGTTTATGGTGGCACAGCAAAAGGGCAGGACCTCCCTTATTGCCTTCTCCCAGCCTTTCCCAAGCTTCCTTAGCAGTGCCACTATGGAAAATACCTTTTCCTATGCTCCCACCTCGGCTGAGGTAACACCAGCTGAAAAAGAAGCACGATCTAGGTGCATTTGGCTGTGCATCTAATTAGAGCAGTGCACAAGCCTTCATCCTATTTGAAACCCTGCAGCTCCTCACTGCTCATCCCTTGTCCCCTGGGGCTGCCTGTGAGGAGCACTAAAGGAATGGGACTTAACCCTGTCACGCTCCAGTTGGTGCCATAATTGCCCGGGGCTCTTTCATCTGCCCTCTGTAATTGGGATCACTTTATCCCTGGCTTCATCCTCCCTAATCCTACAGGTAGCCCTTCAACAAGCTGTTCCCCACAGTGGAGGATTGATGCTCAGCTTTCCAAAAAACACCCCTTCCCCAGGGTAAGGAGAAGCCAAACTCAGCTGTGCCAGTGCTGAGCAGCACCAGGATCTTCCTTCACATTCAGCACCTTCTCTGGACCTCCCATCCTCCTCCTCCTCCTCCTCCTCCTCCTCCTGCCCTTCATACATCCCCCACCTTCTCCAGACACCCCAAATTTCCATCACTTTGGCCAGCATGAGTGAATTTAAAACTGTTTTGAAGAAAAGGCTTGGGATAGTGTCGATCCATTTCAAGCTGTGTTTTGTCAGTGCAATGGCAGTGCAGGACACTGGGGGAGGGACACATGCTGAGAGAGGAAATAGAGAAGGGACGGGGGTGTTTCTGTCTGTCATGTGGGCACTGGGAGGGGACACCAGAGGCCAAGCAGTGGCCCCAGCCAGCAGCACCAGTGGGACCAGGGGCCCCAGGTCTCCTGTCTCTGCTGGCTCAGTGGGGACACGAGGCTGCTGGGATGTGAATGTGACAGCTGGGGCTGTGGTGCTGCAGGTGCCACATCTGGGGTGAGCACTGCATTCGTGCACCCCCTGGCCCCCTAAAGGGTCACCTCCTCGAGTGGCAAGTCCAGCACTGCCTGCTCAGCCCTTCTCCTGCTGAACACAGGGAAGGAGCACAGTGAGAGAGCGGAGTGAAATCCCCCTTTTGAGTCCAGGACCTCCAGCACACCTGGACAAGTCTGGCAGAGGTGTCACACCTGGTGGGTGAGGAGGAGGAGGCCCTGTCCATCACCGTGGCGCATCTCTGGAACAGTGAGGGAGCCCATGCTGATCTGGCCACCCAAGAGGGCACTCACACACTTTGGGAGGATGCCTGGTAACACAGGCATTGGGTTTTTTTTCCTTCCTGTAGGATTAGAGCTGAGTTTGTGGTTTGAACTCTGACCCGCTGCTGCTGAAGGAGAGCGTGTCACCTCCAGCCCTGTTCTCCTGAACAGCAGCACGTGCTGAGGATGGCATTGCTAATGAATTCCCTGGGTCATCTCACCCCCACCAACCAGCACCTCCTTGCAAAGTTATGGGACTACAAATCCAGCAGAAGCTCTCAGGGCCTTGAGGACACTAATTAGCTTTCATGGGCTGTACCTGGGACTTCTCTCTATCCACATGGACCCAGGAACCAGCTGAGCTCAGCCCTGGGCCTGCAGTCTGTCACTGATCTGTGCTGTGGGAGCTCAGCAGTGCCTGAGTGACCCAGGCCCTCCTCCTCACCATGGACCTGCCAGGATTATGTCTGACCCTGGTACCCCCACCAGGCTCACCCCAACCTACTGTGGTCCAGACCCTGAGAGTATCCCTGTGTAAATGTGGAACCCAGAGGAATCCCTGTTGGCTGCAGATGAGAGACAAGAAGAAACAGAGCACAACCTGTGCTTTGGAGCCCTCTGAACAAATGCTTCCAGTTTCACCTGGAATTCACTTCATTTGAGCCCTGGGCACACACAGTCTGTGCCCCAGGCCCCACTGTCTGTGTCTCTGGCATGGCTGGGCATAGCTCCACTCCTTCAATGGAAAAGGAGGAGCTCATGGGGAACATGATTATCCATGGAAGGTTTGGGGGTAGTAATCAGGAAATAGTGATCTGCAAAATCTCAAAGGGAGTGGAAAAGGTGAGGAGTGATGCACAGGCTCTGGCTCCCGTGCCCTGCAGTGTGTGGGATCCTCTGGGAGGCTGCTCTGGAAAGTGAAGGAGCTGGGCAGAGCTGGCAGGTCCCTAAGGATCTTCGGATTGCCCAGCCCGATCATCAGGCGTGCAGGCACTGTACTGGGAGATGGGTTTGAGCTAGACTGGGGCTGAAGCTCCTGGCCGAGCTCCAGTGCGAACAGGCAGCATGGAGAAGGTGGAAGCACGGACATGGAGAGATTTGGGGATGGGGATCGGGCTCGGCGGTGAGTCCGTCACTGTCCGGCTCGGCGGTGCGTCCGTCCCGCCTCCCGCGCCGCCCGGGCGCTGGAAGGACACACGGCGGGGAGCGGCGGAGGCCCGGGGCGTGTGGGGCCGGGGTGTGCGGGCAGGGGTGTGAGGGCACGGGGTGTGAGGGTGTGCCGGCCCGGGGCGTGTGGGGCCGGGGTGTGCGGGCCGGGGTGTGAGGGGCCGGGGTGTGAGGGGCCGGGGTGTGAGGGCCCGGGGTGTGAGGGCCGGGGTGTGAGGGGCCGGGGTGTGAGGGGCCGGGGCGTGAGGGCCCGGGGTGTGAGGGCCGGGGTGTGAGGGGCCGGGGTGTGAGGGGCCGGGGTGTGAGGGGCCGAGGTGTGAGGGCCGAGGTGTGCGGGGCCGGGGTGTGCGGACCCGGGGTGTGAGGGGCCGGGGCGTGCGGGGCCGGGGCGTGCGGGGCCGGGGCGTGAGGGCCCGGGGTGTGAGGGCCCGGGGCGTGCGGGGCCGGGGCGTGGCGGGGCCGAGCCGGGGCGGGCCGGGCGGGACCGAGCCGGGCGGGGCTGGGCGGGCCGAGCCGCGGTCCCGCCCCGCGGGTTTAAGCGGCGGCGGCGGCGGCGGGCGCGGGTCCCGCGGCGGCGATGGCGCTGCGCTGCCTCCTGCTGCTGCTCTGCGGAGCCGCGCTGGGACCCGCCGTCCACCTGGACTTCGCCGAGCACCGCAGCCAGGCCGCCAAGATCAAGGTCAACCCCCGCGGCAACCTCTGGGCCACAGGTACCGGGCGGGAGGCGCGGGCGCGGCGAGCCCCGCGCGGAGCCCCCGCTCCTACCGGGGCAGGGGGATGCTGGCAGTGCCGCGAGGGGCAGGGCGAGGCCAGGGCAGGAGTGAAGTCACCTCCACCTGCACCTCTGGGCAGCAGGTCCGACGTCCCCAACAGGCTGACCAGTCTGACATCCCTGGATATGAGGTTCAGCATCCCTGGGCGGCATCTCTGTAACCCCAGAGATCAGCAGGAACAGAGAGGGAAGTTTCCCAACAATCCCATGTGGAGTGAGGACCTGGGATTCCTGCTCAGTTGGTTTGGGCATTAGGTCGCTCGGTGCTCCCCGTTGGTTTGTGCCGGTGCAGGGTTGCGGGTGAGAGCTCAGCTGGAGCCCTGTGTCCCCCCAGACACCCCGTGTGTGGTGTTGCAGGTCACTTCATGGGGAAGAAGAGCGTCACAGGCTCCCCACACCTGGAGACTGCGGAGGAGCCTGCAGTGCCAATGGTCTTTGGTCCCTCTCTCCGAGCCCTGCTGGAGGACATGATGGAACTGCTGACCCGCGAGCTCCTGAAAATCCTCTTGCAAGAAAGGCTACTGGATGAGAACCAAGGGAAATATGACCTCACTGGCCAGGTGAGCATTTACTTAGCTAGAGGGAGAAGCTCAGAGCAGAAAGGTGGAGGAGCTCTGCTGGAGAGGGGAGCCCCTGCACAGCTGCTACAAGTGCATTCCCCTCTTTACCCTCCTTTTAACCCTCCTTTTAACCCTCCTTAAACCACTTCTTAAGACCATCCATAAAGGGAGAGAGGAGAAGTGTCCTGAGGCTTGTGTCTAGCTGAGCAGTGACAGATAGTCCCAGGTGCTTGGGAAGGGTGTGAGGATGAGCAAGTAACACTTCAATGGAGCTGTGGCAGAGGTGGTCCCCAGGAGTTGTTAATCAGCATATGGGTCTTCCTCAGATGCAGAAGAGGATGATGACCCCTTTTCCAAGGATAGGGAAATCCTTTCTCCCTGTTATTTCTACAGCAGGAGACCAAGAGGGATGCAGTATATGAAGGGAAAGGCATCTGTCAAGCAAAGAGCTTTGGCTCTGTGTCACTGTGGCTGGGATCCCTCGATGCTGAGGGCACAAAGCCTTGCAGAGAGTATGTGTGCACTGGTCCTGCTGCTGCAGAGTGGGTTTTGGGGAGCAGGGAGAGGGCAGGAGCTCCAGTGGTGCCACTGTGGATCAGCAGACCCTCACTGTGGCTTTTACCTTGGAGCTCACTCAGCTCCTAGTGGAAAACCTGCCCCTGGGAGCAATGCACAGGCACAGATCTTCAGGCAGGATGTAGAGATCGAATTGCTCAGTCCAGAGATGGAATTTCTGCATCCATAAATGGAATTAGTCAGTGTGGCTCTGCTTGTCTGTTGTCTCCTGCACACCTCCCTGGTGTCTCACCCTTTCCAGTCACTGCAGGAAGTAAGTGGGAGTCTAAAAAGGATGAAATTCTCTTAGGTCAGTCCCACCTGTGCTGTCCCACTGAGCCAGATGCCTGAGGAGTTATCCAGTAGCACTGCATGTAGGTTTTTCAGCAGCTGTTTCTGCCATGCAGGGTTAGGCAGGACTTGCTCCTCGTTGGCACAGGTGGAGCAGAGTTGCAGGACTGGGAGCCTGAGAGGCACTGGTTACTCAAGCCCCTTTTGGACTCACTTCCAGCAGAGGAAGGTAACCTGATGCATCCCAGAGGGCTTTCCACAGTGAGGACACAGCTGGGCATGGTGAAGGCACCAACCCACCCCACTCCCTGTGCAGTGATGGCATCTCAGATGCAGCTAGAAAGGACATGAGGGCTGTGGGAGTTCTGGACCCTTCCCCACCTCCCCCCCCCCACCCCGTCCAAAGGAACTTTTTAGCAGGAGGGCACTTGTTGAGAAGATGGGAGAGCTGCCAGATGTGCTGCCCTGCCTCGTTTCTGAGCGTGGTGTGAATTTGGGAGAGCTGCTCCTCGCTGCTCACGTTGCAGATGTGCCTGTGCAAAAGCTGCCCGGGGTGCTGGTGCTGTAGCACAGGTTCCAGCTGGGTGCCAGAGTCCTGCCAGCCCTGCCAGTGCCCATTCCCAGTGCTCGGGGTGGGCACTGGCCAGGTGTGGCACTGGGTGCCAAAGCCCTGCTGCTGGAGCCTGCTTTGGTGCTTTGTCTGTGGCCATGCAGGTGCTGGCCAGTGCCTGCCTCGGTGCCCACGTGTGGCATCACAGCTGAGCTGCTTGATGTCAAACTGGCTCCTGCCCCTCACTTCCTCTTCCCAAACCCTTGCCCTGGTCCCCTTGGCCACATTGCTGGGGGCTGGTTCTGGTTTTGCTCCTTGGGCACCTCTGAGCACTTCACTTCCCCAACTCCTGCCCTGCTCCTTTCTCCCACCCATCCCCAGGGCATCCTCACATCTGTGCTGCTGTGGATATTGCAGAACTGCTTCTCCCCAGTGCCTCTCAGTGCTGTCCATGTTGTACTGTTCTGTGTGACCTTATCTTTTTTTCTTGCTCTTGTGATTGTCACTGTGCCAGTCCAAATTCCTGCCACCCTGACAGCTTTCCCCTTCAGCATGAAAGTTGTTGGACACCAGGTCTCAGCACCCAGCCTGAACTGATCTGTGTGCCACGTTCCCACCTTCCCCACAGACTTTTTCCTAGCTCTGCCCTGTGAAACTCCTGGTCCATGCCCTGCTCAGGGTCTGTTGTTTCCATCTCAAGCCATGTGTGGCAGACAAGACTTGGCTCTCAGCGTGCTGGGGCTTCACAGTGCTGCCACATTACTCTGGGTGACAAAGATTGGGCTGGCAGAGGAGGATCCTTCCCATCCTTTGCCACCTCCTTGGGTGTGTGGCATTGATTCTCCAGGATGCAGAGGCCACGTGTGTGGAGTGGAACAGCTCCAGGGGTGTGGGGAGAGCCTTTCTGCCTGAAGGCAGCTGCTGCCCTGTGTGTCTCTGGGACCTGTGGTCAGTGCCAGACCCACAAACCCCTCTGTGACTCTTCCCTGCCGTGTTTTCTGTCTCTTTTTGCCTTCTCATGTTCTCTGCTGAACGAGGCTCTCCCCTGAAGCTCAACCCAGTGGCTGCTGCCTCACTGGGATGATGTTTCCCTCAACATCTGAGTTGTGGTTCAGCTGTTGGAGCACAGATGGGAAGCTTTGGCTCTGTCCTTCTCATGTGCCTTCCCAAGCCACCCCTGAAAGTGCCACTGCCCTCCAGCATGGAATTTTGTCTGATGTGCCCCACGGTCCCAGCATGGCTGGTGATGGTGGTAGTTGTGTGCATGACCCCGTGTCTCACTGCTGTCTTTTTTGTTTTGTAGGAGACAGGGCTCTTAACAAAGGTGCTGGAGAAGTACTTTTCAAGCTGAAGAGGTGCACCAGGGGAGGATGAGGTCTGCAGGGTCAGCTCTGTGTGGTGAACAGAGGAGAGCCTTGTCCTTGTGCGTTTCTATAGCGGCATCACTTTTATTTATTCTTTCTGAAATATTGTCCATAGTGGTTGTGTGTGAAAATGGAGCCTCCCTGTATAGTTCCTGTATGTTTTGTGTTTCCTTGATGTCTGATGTGTGAATAAAGCTGGTTCTTTGCACAGACTCTTCTGTGGGGGTAGGAAGGCAGACCCCAGGGCTTGTGAAGGGGGAATGGGGAGTGGGAGCACCTTGGGGCAGGGTGAAGGGAAGCTCTCAACAGCTCAGAGGGGTTGGATTCAGTCCCTGCATGCCACCTCACACCAAGCCAAGGGATGATCCAGCATCTGAAGATGCTGAAAACCAGTAGAGGGATCAAAGCCATGGTAGGAGACCTTCCCACCATGCTCTATATCCTTTCAAGTATAGTTCAGATCCTGTGAAGCCTCCTCTTCCTCACTGGAGCAGCTGCTTGGCTGCAGCCTCTGGGAAGAGCAGCTCCTTGAGCCTCCCAGGTTCCACATCCTGCTGGTGAGCAGCCCACCTGTAAAAATTCCCTTTGTGGATCCTTCGTGGTCTCCTACCCACCAGCTTTGCTCGAGAGATTTTCCACTGTCCTGCACTCATTCATGCAGGAATCCTTCCTCTAACATCTACTTTTTTTTGCCAAGACTCACTGCTGTGTTCTGGGATGTGGGTGACCCCCAACTCACCTTTTCAGTAGCTGGAGTAAACTAATTGTTTAAGTAAACTTAAAACTAATTATTAGCAAGAAAAATAATGACACTGTGGATTGTGTTTGACACTGGAGGAAGCCAGATGCCCCTCAGCCAGCTGGTGAGGGACTGACAGCCTGATGGGGTTCCTCCCTGATGTGTTATGGGACCACCCTGCTGAGCTTACTGAAGGGGAGGCACCCCAGTGAGATCCTCATTCTCCTCTGACCTAGCCAGAGCCTGTCCAGCTGCCTGTCTGTGTGTCCCCAGCCCCCATCACTCTCCTCTGGGTTGAGATAAGAAGGGTGAGGTCGCTTGTTAACTGCTGCCATGGGCAGAACCAGCTCACCTTGGGGAATAGAAGTTAATTTATTGTCAATTAATTTCAGTATTTGATTCAGGTTTTGAAAAAAAACAACCGCCCCCAAGAATTTTCCCCTCCCCTTTGCCAGGCTCCTTTCAGCACCTCTCCTGCTCCCTGCTGTCCCTGCAGGTGACACTCACTCGGTCCCCTTGTGGAAGCAGCAGCTGAAGGCAGGAGGGATGCCCCACATGGCACTGGTCCATCCAAGGAGTGCCTGTTCCACCGTGGAGCCTCTTCATCCTCCTCTCTGAGCTGCTGCACAGGCTGGAGCAATGCTGAGTGCCCAGTGCCTGCCTTGGACCCCATCCTACAAGCCCAGGGTGACCCAGGCTGGAGAAAATCTCAGCAGATCTGTGGCTCAGCCCAAAGCAGCATGAGCCTGAGCTCAGACTGCCTTTCTCAGGGCTTGAACACCTCCTCAGCTGCTCCCAAGTTTCTATTTATCCCTCACAGGCAAACAGCTACTCAAGCCCTAAATCACTATTCCCTCCTGAATTTAGATTACAAACTGAGAGGATCAGGAAAGCTTTTGAGGATGCTCATAATTTTTTTTGGCAATTTGCTGGCTCTGCCCTGTCATTCACCCTTCTGACATTTACCTGCTGGCCCACAGCATGCATAGGCTCAGCACAATGTCCTGTCACTCACCAGGAAAGTTCCAGGACCAAAGCTTTGTGCCCAAGCTTAGAAAACGAGTAAATTCTTCACTTTGGGTTTTTTCCCAGCCCTGATTTGTTTCTGTTGTTCCTCTGCTTTGAGGATAACCCTCCCTGCTGCTGCTGGGGCTCAGGTCCTTGCTCACAGCTGTTTGTGCACACTGCAAGCAGAGATGCAAGGAAGCCTTTAGGGTCACTGGGATGACTTTCCTGGGGTGCTCAGACCTGTGCCACGTTTCTTTGGAAGCCCTGAGAGCTCAGGGGCTCTGTGACCATTGCTGTTCTGGGCTTCCCCCACAGCCTGAGGCCGTGGCACGGCCCCAGGGATGGGAAAAGAACACCAAGGGAGATAAATAGACACAAGTCACCTTCACGATTGACATTTGTGCCTTTGGCTGTGGGACTGACTCAGAGCAGGAGCTGGCTCAGAGGGAAGTCAGTCAAAGTCGCTGCCACCACTTGGTGTCATTGCTGTCCCAGGCTCAGTGACTGCTCCCTGTGTGCTCGCTGACAGGGGACACTCCTGCTCAGCTCTTGCAGAGACATCAGGCCCCAGGTTGGGTTGTTCCCTCCTCTGGGGTGCTTGGAGCCCTCTCCTCCAGAGGAGACCAACAAGTGAGGCAGTGAGGGAAGGAAGCAGAAAGGGGAGCAGGCTGCATCAGGAAGCAAACGAGCCAGATTCCATTGCTACCCCCACGCTCCTCCAGGGACAGTTCTTCACATCCTCATATGAGCATCAAACCCCCACCTGACCAAGGTAAATCCAGCCAGGACAGAGCCTGGGACAAGCCAAGGAAATTGATTTCCAGAGCTTGGCACTGTGTCCAAATGATTTCCAGGGAGCAGGGCGTCCTAGTGCAGAGGAGCTGAGGTTAAATGCAGTGTACAGTCTCAAACCATGGAGAGATTCCAACAGCAGCTGGCTTGTAGCAAAACCAGTGTGGCACAGCCCAGGGCAGTGCCTGTGCTGCAGCACCTCCAGCTCTGGGGGGAAGCTCTGGGCCCTCACTCCAAGAAGGATTTTTGGGGGACTGGAGCATGTCCAGGGAAGGGAACAGAGCTGGGGAAGGGGCTGGAGCACCAGGAGCAGCTGGGGGTGCTCAGCCTGGAGGAAAGGATGCCCAGGAGGGACCTTCTGGCTCTCCACAGCTCCCTGGCAGGAGGGGGCAGCCAGCTGGGGTCAGGGTCTCCTCCCAGGGAAGAGGACAAGAGGAAATGGCCTCGAGGTCTGCCAGAGGATGTTCAGGTTGGACATCAGGAGAAATTTGTTCATGCAAAGGGTAGTCAGGTATTGAAAGGGGCTGCTCAGGAGAGGGAGTCCCCATCCCTGGAGGAGTTCAAGGAATGATTTGATGTGGATTTCAGTGCTCTGGTCTGGTTGACAAAGTGGGCTTGGTCACATACTGCACTGAATGGTCTTGGAGGCCTTTTCCAGCCTCAGTGACCCTGTGATTCTGTGCTAAGGCATACAAAAGCCTTTTCCTTATGATATGTCCCACCAGCTCACTTTCCCCTATCATGCACCAGCCTCTGGAAAAATCAAACTGGTAAAGATGACACTGAGAGAGTGATGGGACCTTCAGACATTGGGGGATGATTTAACAAAGGCCAAGTGCTGCTCACTCAGCTCCAGGGGAGCCTGTTGGGCTGGCCCTGCCCAATCCAAACCCTCAGGTACAGTCAATGGGATAAAGCTCCTGCACTGCACATAAAGGATGTGCTGGAGAAAACAATCTGAGTTATTCCTGCCTCAGGCAAAGACAGATCCCTCTGTGGGATTCCTTTTACTCAAGGACCTGGGTGCACTTTGTGGGTGATGCTGGAGGAAGGCAAAGGCCAATGTGCACCTCAAGGTGATTTATTTTGGGTGAGAGCAGCCAATAAATTCAATTGTATGAAGTTAGTTGATACCTAATGCTGTGTATTGTCACTTCTATATGCTCCTCATGCCACCAGGCACCTCACAGCACTGTCTGGATTTGGGGGTCTGAACCTGGCTCCCCTCTGATCATCACATTAACAAAAAATGAACTTTGCTGAAACTGGATGAGTGCAGTGGTGATGGAGCAAAAACTGACTTTAATATGGGACAAACTTCTGCTGCCCTGAAAGACAGCTGGAGCCCAATGTCCTGGTCAAAATGAACTCTGGACTTTTCCAGGCACAGTCCATCAGCTGAGGGAATGATCTGTGTGTGTGTACATCCATCAGAGCACAGGAAAGCTGATGGGGCTTGGGAAGTGTGGAACCTGGCAGCCATCAGTGACAGGGTGAGGGGTGGCTGCTGCCCTAGTTTTACTGGGATGGAGTTTATTTTTTTCTCAGTAGCTGCTCCAGTGCTGTGGTTTGGATTCAGGACAAGAATAATGTTGACATGACAGGGATGTTTTGGCTGTTGCTGAGCTTACTCTAAGTCAAGGACTTTTCAGTGTCCCACGTTCTGCCAGTGAGGGGAAGGAAGCTGCCCAGGAAGCTGGGGAAAGCAAGGCCAGGGCAGCTGAGGGATATTCCATACTACAGAACATCATATTCAGTATATAAACTGGGAGGGAGCTATATAAGGAGTATATAGGAGTATATAAACAGGCCAGGAGCCTCTGATCACTCTCAGGGGCAGCCTGGGCATTGGTCAGCAGAGGGTGAGCATGAACTGTGTATCCCTTGTTTCTCTTGGGTGTTCTTTCAACATTTTTTTTCTTAAATTACAGCTATTATCATTATCAGTAGTAGTATGAAGTCTCACAAGTGTTTAGTATTTTTATATTTTTGTGATCGTTCAGTCATCAAACTTATATCAACCTACAGAATCGTTTTTCTTTTTCTTGTGATGAAAGCTTTCATTGCATCAGGTCCTTGGTTCTTGGCTGAGGCCTCAAGAAGAGATTCTAAAGATGAGCAGAGGATGTGCAATGGAAGACAGAGGCCAGCCAGAGACCTGGTACTTCTGTGGGAGCCCCAGAGCTCAGAATCCATCTCACACTGGAGCAACAATTCTCCAGTTTCACTTGGAAATGAGAAAGAGCCAAACTCGCTGGACACCAGCCTGTTCTCACCGCTCTGGGCTTTAGAGGAAACCCTTCTCCTGACCCTCTTCCTGAGCCTAGGGGAAATCCCAGCCTGCTGGGATATAAATGGCTCCAAGTGCTGCAGGTCCCAAGCCAAATCTTCCCCCAAGGGATGTGTTCACCGTGGCCCCACGGAAATGCCTCGCTCTGGACTGATGGATTGTGCTTCAGCAACTGCAGCATGGACACCACAGAACATGGAGCCTTGAAATCCTGAGTGTTCTCCTGCTGGGAATAACCCCAGGGAAGAGGCACAGTTCCCTGCCTGCCCAGGCTGGGAGGTCTCGGGGCTGTGTCTGACCCAAAATCCTCGGTATGACCCTGCTCAGGAGATGTTCTTGCAGTGTGTGTGCACCAAGTGCTGCTCCTTGGAGCAAGAGACAGG